AAAGCAATTTCCACGCGAGCAACATCGAAATGCAATGCACGCCTGAAGGACGCACGCGTGTAAGTGTGTGTGTGTGTGTGTTTGTGAGTGTCCTGTCGCGGTGGGAAGTTAAGGGGGAGCTAAGAGGGGCCAAAAGGGGTGGTGGTGCAAAAAACTATATACAATATGTATACAATATGGGTAGCACTCGAAGAGCGAGAACAGCAGCAGCAGTAGCACTAGCAGCAGCCATAGAAAGTTTTTCATTTTGCGGTTGACTCTGGAATTTGAAAATGTTGCGCAAGGAGGAGCCCTCCAGCGGACCTCTACCGCCTGCACCACCACCATGCCACCACTTCACCCACTCAACCACCCAACGACGGGTGCGTATGCAGCTGGTGCTGCTCCAACTTTAACTGGAGCAAGGACATCCTTCGGGGGGGAGGGCAGAGCTGCGAGTAAGGAGCATTCCTGAGCTTTGGCTTCTGCTCCTGTTGAATTCCAGCTCAAGTTAAGCAGCTTACGCATGCAGCAGCAGCGGAAGCAACAGCAGCATCGGCCACCTGAACTCCTGCACTTTAGCCGGCTCTAACACAAATGCAAATTTATAAATTCTTTGCGCACTGCTACAAATCACCAAGGGTTTTACCAAATAGAGCTCGTTTTCAACCTAACAAAAAGTCGTCCAAAATAAAAAACATCAAATGAAAACAATGTCAATTAATTTTGTTTCATATGAAGTTTTTTGTTTTGGACGACTTTTTGTTAGGTTGAAAACTAGCCCTTAAATTCTAAATGCTTTCATTAAATTGCTAGTATACAAAATTAAAATAATTTTCGAGTGCATAGCACACTCGAATCATTTAAAAACCCTATTTTTTTCTGACTAAAATACGTTTTTCCCACCGGAACTATGTTAATGTTTGTGACTCACACTTAAGATTATTTCATGAATCATTTTTTGATTAATATTTTTAATGAGTTCTTCAGAACAATCATAAAAATGTTCATGTATGTCAACCTTATTTTGATAACATTTGGCGGGAACGTAAACTTTTGTGACTCCTAATCAGATTATTTTACGGGAATTTCGATTTTTTTTCTAGTCCTCTGATTAGCGTCAAGTTTTTTAGTTCATTTACAAAAATATTTTTATTAAAATAAAAATACACATTCCTTAAATGAATAAAAAACCTGATTAGTGAATAACGGTTGCTACGCAGTTTCTACAATTAAGTTAGTTATTTTCCCCAGTGCACTTTTAGTTTAAGGTACAATATTGACTTTCGTCCTGGGTTCCTCCTGTCTGAGTTATTATGCCGTGGCGGTCTCAGAAAGCGGAGTAACTCTTTGGTCTGGTTTGGCATTTTGTGGTGCCGGGTCTGGAAATGCGCTAATTAGATTTTAATGAAGATGTCGCTGTCACCATTCTACTCCAGTTCCCAGCCCCCCGAAACGAATCTGTGGGCCGCCTCGTTCCTTTCGGAGAAACGAGCAACAATGTCTCGCATCAACGCGCATGTTTCCCTGTTCACTGAAGCAGAGATTTCTTTTGCTAATTTCTTAGTACAGCACTATTTTTTTTTTAATTTTCCCCTTCCTTTTATTGCAAAATTAAAGTTTTGCAGCTTTTGCTTTCATAGTTTCTGACATAATTTTGTTGATTTTTCTTCTCCTAATGGATGAGCTCAATTATTTTTTACGCGAGAGCTGCATTTAAGTTTTAATTAGCATGTTTTTCTGGTTTTTTTAATTGCGAGGTAAAAAGTTAGTTTGTTACAGCAGTTATAATTGCCTTATGAAGAGCCTTTTTCGTGGAATGAAAAAAAAAATAGTTCGAAGAGGGAGTAAGAAAAAAACAGCAACTGTACCAAGACCAAATAATTAACACATTTACATTAAACATTTTGGTAGAAAACAAAACTCTTGAAAAGTGACCAATCTTGAAGGGTGCCTGCAGACCACCATTTAATTATTCCACACTTAATTAAGCAAATAACCTTCTGGGAGTTGAGTCATCCTACCTGGCACTTGCTGCTGCGTCCATTTAATGGACAAACCCCCTCGAGGATTTGATGAAATTAAATATTTAATTTGCTTTATACTTTCATTAAGGACCAGAAGTAGAAGTCCCGAGAAGTCTCCGCCCCACTTAACATTTGTTTGCCGGCAGCTGTATGTCATGCTCGCATTTTCGCCACCAAACGACAACGACAGACTTAAATATTTGCATAGACAAGTCCTGGTTGTATATACGGGTATATGCATACATACAAATGTATATATACATATTTATATGCATAGAGAGAGGATCAAGGACTACGGCACCAATGCATTTCGGACCGCACACAAAAGCCAGTGGAGAATAGCCCCATGAAGGAGTTGAGCTGGGGGAGTACCATCGCATCCCATGCCCATTGCCCTGCCCCTCAAGTCGTCGCCTTGATTTACGATTAGTCTCTTTGCAGTCCGCAACACTGTTCGCCACACACTTAGTTAGCCAAACACACAAAACCAACTCGATCTCCCTTGAAGACCCTTCTCCTCTGCCCCCTCCACATTTTAGCCCGATTTTAGCCACAAGGCCCTTAACAAGGCCTTCTATTTGTCACCAAGCCCGGGAAATGGAGCAGAATCGCCGCGTGGGAGTTGTAGTTGCATGGGGTGATGTGTAGTTGGTAACGCCGGAGTGGGCAACCACTTGCCAGCAATCTGCATTTTGGGCGGCAACCCTGCACACGAAAAATTATAATTGCCTAGACGGCCAGCACAATGCAGATTCGAAAACCACAAAATATGGCAAAGAAATTAAAGTTTAATTTTAATAAATTTCAAATGAAGTCCTACTATAATCTTACTTTCAAAATATAAATATTTAAATCTGTATTTATTTATTTATTATATTAATTAATGTATTATTTATTTTTTTGGTCTTTGCTTAAAAATCTTAAGATTATTTAAATACTAAGCCTTTTTTGTCCAATGAACATGAACTCGACTTGCAGATGGTTTACTTTTACCTTCAATAAGCAGCGAAGAGAATGCCAAGTAGAAGAACCAGAATAAGCTGGCGAAGGCAGGGAACAATAATTTGCATGCCACTTACAGTGGGAGGCTAGGACTAGGAAAATGAAATAGAGGGGGAAAAACGGGAAATTGTGAGGGAAAGCGAAGGCTGGACGCTGAAGAAAAACGACAGCACGCGCCAGTTTTGTTTTCTTATATTTTGTTCGCTGTTAAAAAGTTTTGTATTACGTGCAAAATGAGAGCACGCTTAAATTTATTTGCCTGCAAAGCGAGAAGAGAGCGAGAAGGCAATTTTCACTTGAATTTGACCCATATTTCACTGCAAGTGAGAGCCCAGATGTTAGACAATGATCACCGGCAGCACCGTTAGCTGCACATCATCATTTGCCATAATGGCAGCAGAAATACGCAGAGCGTACAAAACAGAACTCCTGTCATTTTCTCCATTTTTGTTGCCATTTCCTCTATAAAGCCATTTCGTCTATGTCACGTCTAACAGAAATTTGCCGCCATTTGTTTGTTTTTAAGCTATACATTGTGTTAACATAACTTTCTTTTTCGGTTGAGATTAAAATTTCGGTTGAGAATAAATTATATTTATAAAAATTACAATATCAAATTAATTAGTTCCAGAAATTTTAAAATTTTATCAAATAAAAAATAAACAATTTTATGTTTTTTTTTTAATTCCTCTTTAGCTTTAAAGAATATTTCTATAATAATTAAGTCGACTGTTAAACATTACTTATAAATTAATTAATTTCTCAGAAGAGGAATAAGACCTAGGAATTTCCAGAAATCGTTTAAACCCAATAAATCAAACGGACCATGTCTTAGGTCGCATCGGCACTGCTGATAAGAAATATATGCTTTGTTTATAGTATAAATTCGTGGAATGTTGTCTGGTTATCAATGACGTGGAATATACTTAGCTTGCCGCGATCTCTATGTTTTGTAAAAGTCTACAGAACTAGAAATTAAAGCAATTTTGTGCGGATATATTTTCTTTATACTTAAAAAAGGGAGGTGAGGTGCATTATAAATACTCAATTTTTCATAGATTACTAAAATATGACCTTTTTATTTATATAGTGAGGTATAACTTTTGATCTTCTGTTTCATTCTGTAAAAAACATTGTTTTTCGAAAGAGAGGGTATTCATATTCCGGCTGAAGGTTCTATCTGTCTGAAGAACATATTTCATGGCTTAGGTGGATACTTTTTTAGCTAGTCAGCGCTAAACGCTTTTAAGCCAGAAGCATAGGGAAAATAAAATAAATGAATATGCGCCACGCACAGGCATTCCTCACACATACATACAAACACACGCTCGTCTTCTCTCTCTTCTCATGCTGCCTCCATCTCTCTCTCTCCGCTCCTCATTCGTGGCAGCCATTTTGTCTTCGGCTTGGCGTTGTCCTTGGTGTTCCTGTTGTCCTGCGACGCCTTTCGCATAACTGAACGTGTGCGCTGCATTTGTTTTACATTTTATTATGCTACTTTACCCAAAATAGCAAAAAAAAAAAGCAGCTACAGCAAAACAACAGGAAAAAGGCGAATAAATGAGAGGGAGAAGAAGCCAGGGGCGAGCCACACCCACAACATTTTCCGCTTTCCTTTTTAATTTTCTGTTTTCCCCCCTTTTATTATATTGCAAACATTTTTAAAGGACGACTGGACCAAAAAAAAAATACGTCAGCAAAATACCAAGAAAAAGAAGACAATGTCAGGGAATTTATGTTGTATTTTCAATATTCAAATATTTTACAAATTTAAGAAAAAAAGAAACATTGTTATATTTTAAACAAAAATTTACGTATACTAAAACATTTCTAAAAGCTTAAAATAGCTCCTATATTTATAAACATTATTGTTTATGTTTGTTTCTCTCACTTTCGAAAAAAGCCAAAGCTTTACTTCTCATGTGTTGATAAGGTACACTTTTAGAATGTGTAGCGAGATTTGGTCAGTGTGAATTAAAACTCGAAGCGGAAACATGTTTCAAATTTGGACAGTCGGTGTTTTTCTATCCGCCCTTATTTTATTTGGGGCGGCTGAAAATTATGAAGGCGATCTAAGTATTGAAAATGTAAGTGTCTAAATAAAATAACTTTATTACTGGTAAAGCAAAGGCTCTTGTGAAATTTTAATCTTTTATTTACTCTCATGCTAACTTAATTATTTCAGGAAATGCAATCGCCAGATGAACAGCCGCAATGCGGTCAAGGAAGTCCAGCATTTCAGGAATCCGACTTAAATGTTACTGATGGCCAAGCCAGGCCTGGGGAATTTCCGTGGACAGTTGCCGTGAGCCATCATAAGAAATTTGTCTGCGGTGGATCTCTAATTACCCCCAATATTGTACTCACGTCAGCTAATTGCGTATATAATAAGATGGCAGAGGATCTTGTCGTCAGCGCAGGCGAATGGGAGTATGGAAATGCCTCGGAAAAATACCCATATGAAGAGCAAATTGTGAAGAAACTCGTGTTTCATAAGTCATTTAGCTTGCGAACAGGAGCCAATAACTTGGCGCTACTCTTTTTGGAGAAGGAGTTCCCGATGACATACCGGATTAACACCATCTGCCTGCCCACCGAGAAAAGAACCCTCAACTCAACTCGCTGTATTGCGGCTGGCTGGGGTAAAAATCAATTCAAGGATAAACATAACGCCAGCATTCTGAAGAAGATCGATGTACCGATCGTGCCCCGGGACATCTGTCAGGATCAGTTGCGGCAAACCAGGATGGGCAGAACCTTCACCCTTGCCCCGAATCTTTTTTGTGCCGGCGGCGAGGAGGGCAAGGATGCCTGCACCGGCGACGGCGGAGGAGCACTTTTTTGCCCAATGCCCGAGGATCCCAAGCGATTCGAGCAAATTGGCATCGTCAACTGGGGCGTGGGATGTAAAAACAAAAATGTTCCCGGCATATACACCGACGTGTTTGAATATAAGTCATGGATTGTCGAACTTATGGAAGGTCCAACCGGCACTGTAACCGACAAAAATTAATTGTTTTTAGTGTTTTTAATTTTATGATTGATAATATGAAATATGTTACTACGTATTTAATATTACTGTGCTGTAAAATATAAAATAACTGATTATATTTATACCCGTTACTCGTAGAGTAAAAGGGTATATTGTATTCGTGCAAAAGTATGTAACAGGTAGAAGGAAGCGTTTCCGACCCCATAAAGTATATATATTCTTGATCAGGATCACTAGCCGAGTCGATCTAGCCATGTCCGTCTGTCCGTCTGTCCGTCTGTCTGTCTGTCTGGCTGTCTGTCTGTCTGTCTGTCTGTCTGTCCGTCTGTCCGTATGAACGCTGAGATCTCGGAAACTATAAAAGCTAGAAGATTGACATTTTGCATGCAGATTCTAGGAGTTCCTACGCAGCGCAAGTTTGTTTCAAAAGGGTGCCACCCCCCTCTAACGCCCACAATCGCATATATACGATTTTAAAAATTTCAATATTTTGGAAAAGTAAAAATGCAGTTTTATTGTGTTTATCAATACCTATCGAAATGTAGAAGAAATTTTTTAAATCGGACCATTCGTTAAAAAGTTACGGCGGATCAAAGTTTTTCTCCATCTCTTTCGCACTCCCTTTAGCTGAGTAACGGGTATCTGATAGTCGGGGCACCCGACTATAGCGTTCTCTCTTGTTTTATCAAACAAATATTAAAACTCAACTTCTGAATTTTTTAAATCGACTATTAAATAACCTTTTTTCTAAAATTATAACAACTTATATACAACTTATTATAATTAAAATTTGATACCAATACGGTGTTAATAATTTAAGCACACGGTTTAAATACGAAACCACCGTAAACCCCTTTTTTAAGCGTGACTTGTCAATAATTTTATAATATACACAATTTATTGGCCAAACCATCGAAAGGTTGATGCCAAAGTGAAAGGCGTTAACAAGGGCGGCACTCACATAACCACCAACACGGCACACAAACAAAAAAACCAGCCGACGGAAGGACAGATCAACTTACACACGCACAAAATGGTATGATATAATGTTTATAAAGCACATGCGTATACATACACACACAGGGAGCATTTCCGCCAAACGCACAACGCGGCGTATACTTGATATTTAATTCAATCTGGGCGTAGGTTTTCATTTTTTTTGTTCGTTGTAAGGGACGTGCGCTTTAAATTAACACAAACAAACGTTGTCAGCGACAGCAGCACCCATACACACGCACACACACACACACCCACCGTCAGGACAACAACAATGACACACACACACACTCATACACGTACGGCAAAGCAACAGCAACAAGGCACTTGACAATTACAGACTCAATGACAGTCACAGCCAGCAAATTTATTTGCATTTTAGCTGCCTTTTTGGCTCCGAATCCTGTCGCTTCCTCCGCCTTTTCCCTCGTCCCAACAGGATCCTTGTCCTTTCCCCTCCACCCCTGTTTCTCTGTATAATTTGCCTGATATTTATACCCTTATCTGAGGTTCTTTCAGCAAGATCATCATCACTTAAAAATCATTATTTATATTATTATTATTTTTTTTACCATAAATTTAGTTTAAAGCACCATCTCATAGTAGATCAACGTAGATCGATTTAACATTATGTAATATCAATTTTACCTTGATATGCGGCCAGGAAAATTTGATATGGTCGAAAAGAGAATTTCATGTAAAAACGATATGGGCTTTGCATATGCATTTTGCATGCTATTTTTGTGCTTAGAGCTTGAATAATTTCGATATTTGGCGGTATCGATATTTTCGATATTTTATCAGTATCTTGTATCGTGTTATTTTAATGGAAAACAAAGTAAGTCATTTACGGTCAGCTTGAAATAAAAAACTTTTTTAAAAATTGCAAATACCATGTACTCTGTTTATAATAGAGTGAATTAAATGCGAGTCTTTTCTGTATGTAAATCCGCATAAGCGTAATTCTCTCGCACATAATCACAACGTACACACTCGGCCAATAAAACCAAGCCACTAACTCATGCACGTCTGATTAAACGCGAAAATACGCGACTGCTTGAAGGGAAAAAGGGGAAGAAAGCCCTCTTGGAAGCCACCATCTTTCACCGCAGGCCACGCAGTCAACCAAATCCAAACACAGTCATGCTTATTAACATAGATAGCAGGCAGGCACACACATACTTATTTCAGCCCGCTTAACCCACGGTTTACCCCCCCAATTAGCCTTATTTGTGTTTAAATTGCATTAGGGCCAACAAACAAGCAGGAAAAAAACACAAAACCAAATAAGAACGTCAAAGAAAACACTAAAAATTGACGCATTTGCTAGTTAAGCTTCCACTAAGCCGAGCCATTCAAAGCTTTTATCGATATATTCGTTTCTTATCGATAAGTTCAACTAAGTGGCCAAGGAGCTTAAGTGTATTTGTTTCGACTAAAACCCAGCCAGACAATCGAAGCCATTAACCAATGCGACCGGTCGTAGCCACATGTCAGGATTATCAGATACATATGTCTAAATTATCACTCGCATCGTGTAGCGTATTTATTGTTAGTCTAGCCATTTGGCCGACTTAATTACTTACACTTTTGATCTCGTTCATTTTGGTGAATTGACGTCCGAACTCCCACAAGTCAACGCCGAACTTCAGCGCCCAATTGCGAACCCTGCAAAAAGTTATAATAATTTTATAATATCAGTGCATATTATTCAATTAAATTCTAAAATATTTATTGATAATTTTTAATTAAACTTAATTCTAGAAATAGCAAACTTTTTAGTTTAAAAAGACAAGCTTTCAACATTAATATGGCCTTTGGACTTTAAACGATAAGCCTGTTGTCCCACTTTTTATTTCTTTGCGACTTTAATATTTATAATTATCACTTTCCTCTGAAATCGTTTAATGTTTTTTAAGCCATTAGCCCTCATTACAACTGCCATTCAATGACACGTGACTGATTAAAAATCAATTAAAATCGATTTAAAATTGCGCATAAATTATATCCATCTCATTACGTTGAAGCATACAAATTTCTCATTAAGCAATAAATGGCTTGCTGGACGGAGCACAAAACCAATATTATCATTACTTTGGGAGAATATTTCTTCAATATTTGCAAGAAAAGTTTACTACGAAAACAAAAAAAGGCTAAATCAACTATTTCGCAGAGCCTGACTAAAGACCAACTCACTTGAGAAACCCCCAAGACAGCAGCAAAACTCATTACAGAAGAGGGAAAGCCAAAGGAGGGCAAAACTCTCAAGGGTCGAGGGATAACAACAGGACCAACGGCCAACTATTGTGAAAACATTTGCCAAACATTTATAATCTAAGCGCGAAAGTCAAAAGCAAAACAAAAGCAGCACAACGAGTGCTCATAAAACAAGTCTCGGGACGGGGGAATGTGACTGGAGCAACAGCAAATTGAAAATAAAGCAGGAGGAACCAAAAGTCTGAGCGTTGATACAACGAATATTATAAAAAAAAAACAACAAAAAAAAAAAGAAAGTACTACCAAAAAACAAAGTCAAGTTGAGCCAGAGTAAAGACCTTGCTGAATAATGCCCCCCAAAAATATTTGCACAATTTTATGGCATTATCTGCAATATCAATACAGTGGCGGCAAAAAGGGAGGTGAAGCCAAGGAAACTCGAACCGCAGCCACGTTGCGTATACGCAATGTTGATTTTGTTGAGCCGGCGGCGGCGAGCCACCACACCGAAGAAAAGGATCCCATCTAGATACAAAATAAGCGCATGTTTATATGCTATATGGCCAACGAGGGAGGTTGGGTCGTTTGGTTGTTGAAAAAGACAGCAGATTGCGATGGGAAATGGAAAATGGGAAGGAAGTGCAACTGCAGTCAAGCGGGCCACAGACAAAGTTTTATGGCTCGAGCGATGCCAAAAATGAATTTAAATTATATGAAAATTGTATTATAAACGGAAACTCCCGAGGAGGCAGAAGCCAGCACTTCCCGCATCTTCGTGGCCCGCAGCAATGAAAGCGTAAACAATGAAGCGAAATAAAGTGGCCAACAAAGTGATTGAAATTGGATAATGCTGATGGCTGGCTGGCAACAACAAAGAGCTGGCAAAATGATGATGATGGTGGTGGTCAAGTGATGATAATTAAATGGGAGCAACACCATGTAAGGGTCAACTATAGGATGATTTTTGAGTAGCAATGAGTTAACGGATACGAGTTAAGTTTAATACAATTAAAAAGGTAATGAATGTGGAAAAAGGAAAAAAGTTATCAGAATTAATATAGGGACCACAGTGATTGGGTAATAAAGTTAAAAATTAGTTTAAATAATTAAATAATATATTATTGACCTAATCTATCGATCTTTCATCAATCAATATAAAAAATATATATAAAACTAAATATTAAAAAAAATTGATTATATAAAAAAATAATTAAAATGATCAAAAATTTTGCAAGATTTGCTTAAAATATATTCGACCGGATGTACAAAAACCTACATCCACAAATTGCACAAAACACAGTTAAATGCCAAGCAAATCCTATATTCTAGAAAGGCATTTGTGCAAAAATTCTCTAGAAATATATTAGCAGGCATGCACAACGAAATTTCGGTTTTAAACATAGAAACCCAGTACAAAATTCTATTCCAGTTTTGTGCTATCAAAAAATATTCCATGTTCGTGCGGAAAATACACACATACCTACACATATACCGAGAGCAAAGGAACAATGCTTATACACACATCCAACAAGGAACAAGAAAAACATTGAAAATCGGGTCTAAAGCAACCAGCAGCAATGAAAGGCCATCAACGTCATCTTCTTGGCCTCAAGTAGAGGAGAATCTTTTTTCCGATTCTTTGGACTCTTCCTGCTGGCCAGCAAAATAAAAAGTCACATTTTGTTTTACACATCGATTTTTTTGTGTATATTTCTTTTTTGTATTTTTGCAGCTTGGCCAGAAACTTGACAATGGCTAAAACTATGCTTGTTCGTATGTCTATGTGAGTGCTCAGGTGTATTCGTAGTGACTTTCTATTCTGTCTCAGCTTTTTGAGCACGAACCAACCACGTATGTCATGCTCAAGTACTATATATGGTACACCCAAAGCCATCGAACCAGTTTCGTTCCATTGCATTTTTCACAGTTGTGTTGTCCTTCTCGGTCGCTTCACGTTTGTCTTTGCAGTTTTTCACTTTTCTCGGAGCGCCAAGTTTATGCCGAGGCAGGTGGAAATAGGCAGTAGTAGTAGTTGTCCCATAGAGTAGGTCAATGGGTTTTTGCCATTTTGCATCATTGAAATTGAAATGAGTCCCCTTCTGCCAATGCTGCCAAGAGGCTTGAATGCGCAATCACAAGAGCGCACTTCAATGCGCTCTCGACGTGTGCAAGGGTATTAAGATGTTCGAGTAAATACCTCCAAGTAAAACTAAATTTGGATTTAGGTAAAGCTATCTTCCTTAAAGCATGTAGTTTTTGAATAATACTCGGTTTGCTTAAGGGTAAGGAAACTGGAAAGTTCCTAAAAAAAATATTTTTAAAAACTTGGTAATTGACACTTTAGTTAAAGGTTTAAAAACTATGAAGGCTCTAACTCAATTATTACTTTAAAAAAATTAATAAGTTAAATCTTAAGTAATATTTATAAATGAAAAATGTCGTCCTTAATGGGTAAGACTGTTTAATTAGATCATAATTATCATCATATCACGAAAATGTTTTTGTATAGCTTGTTGTAAAAAAAATGCTTCAAGATCTCAAAAAAAAAAACAACATTGTGAACCTTTAAAAAAAAATAAATAAATAAATTCAGTAAACTGTTCTAAGTTATTTAAATATTTTGAATTTCTAAATCATTAGTTAATTTTTTTTTTTTTCGAAAATAAATATTTAGAATCATTATACTGAATCTGAATTTGTTATTACTTAATGTTGAATTGCGGAAATGTGTGTTCTGGAGTAACTTTGATAATTAATTTGTTGTGTTCCACGCTAATTCGAAATCCCCGTAAAAGGGGATATATAAAACTAAGGGGGGAATTACGTTTGGCGGTAGGTGGAAAATAAAATAAAAAACAAAAAGGAAAATAAAGCGCTAGACGCAGCAGCTCAGCTGTCGCTTCTGTTTGTGTCTCTGGTTCAACTTCTGCTTAATGCACTTTCACTGTCATTTGTCATAAGTAGTTAGTGCTCTGTTTGCTCCCGTTTTTGTTGATTTTGCTTTATTTATTCACTTAAGCTGCCTACCCCCCCGGTAATTAGATCTGCCACGCCCGAGCAAAAAACATGGCAGTGTTTCGAATGCAAAATTGTTTTAAGCAGCAAATGTGCCAGTTGCAGCAGATCCGAAAAAATAACAGCACGATTAAAAGTCAGCAGGGAAGTTTACTTCAGCTAACCAAAATTTAAAACTGTCAATATTGCTTTTAATGAAGAAAATATTAGGAACAATTGTATTTATTGAAGAAAAATCTTGTACATTTCTTCTAGTAAATATATATTTGTACATAGATCTAAATTAAATTTAGAATTATAAAAATAAAGAAAATATTAAGAATCATTGTAATTATGGAGGACAAATCGTTAACATTATCTTTCTGAAAATATATATATTTTCATGTTCTAAATTTAATTTTAAGTACCATGAATAAAAAAATCAACTAAATGAAAAGTAAAAACTGGCACAAAAAGAAAACCTTCAGTTCGTTTAATTTCCAAGCGAGTTGTGTGAGGCCCCGAATCGATCGCTCATCTGCAGGCCGTGCCAGAAAAGGAATCATGTAACAATCCTGTTGATACAGGCCGTCCCCTTTTCCTTCAATTAAAGTTTCTGGCCACGGCACGTGACCCATAAGAGGCTGTCAATGCAACTGCCTTTGGATGAAGGAGGCTGAGGATGGGGATGGGGATCCTTAAGCAAACGAGGCATTAAAATGGCAATGGCTGCAACTGCAACTGAAAATGAGGCAAACGAATGGGTTGGGACGGCCTAAGGAAAACCCGTTGAAAATCCGTGAAGGCCAGGCCAAAGGAAAAGCGGGCCAGGCGAGGGAAAACAACGCTTTCGACTTCGCCTTTAATGTGGACCGGGATTTGGGTCAAAGCAAAAGCGCACAGGACCAATGCCACTAGCAGGACCCAGAATCCAGTATCCAGAACTCAGTATCCAGAAGCAGGACCCAACTTCATCATCGTCATCAACGGGCCATGCCAAAACATAATCGTCAAAGCCTCGGACCCTCAAGGCACTTGCTTGTTTTTGTCGCCTGCCAGCAAAAGTTGAAATAAATTTAATTGAATTTCTGCAGTGACATAAAGCAAATGGCAACATGGACACTAGAGAAGCAAGGAGAGGAGTCGAGTTGAGTCGAAAGAAACCCGGCCAACAGCGAAAGCAAAAGTTTGTTTTTCAAATTAATGAAATTTATTTTACGCATGTGCCACAACATGTCAGCAGTCGAAGATGGACAAGGAAAAAATTGAGTCAAAGAGTTAGGAAAATTGTTTCTCGAAAGCGGGACAATTAATACTAAAGGATCTATAGCTTCTTATAGAATGATTTTTAAAGTGCGCACAAAAATCAAAATCCCACAGAAATAGCTGTCTTAATTTTAAATAGCTGTCTAAAAGTATGCAACAATATATTTTTAACTCAAAAGTAAAATTAATTCACTACATACTTTTAGACAACTAAACGTAGTTTTTATATCCCATAAATAAAAATAAATAAATTTTCTCATATGCGCTACTAAATGTAGTCTTTATTAGAATATACTTTCATTTGGATGTCCCCAAAAACCAAATTAAACCTAGAACCAGAAAGAAACGCTTCAACAAATAACTAATTGCATTTCAACACAAAAACCACATGCCAAAACTAATTTCAATAAATAAAAGTGACATTAGATACGAAAGCAGAACCCAAAAAAATCACTTAGTGTGTCTGTTCCGGTTTCTGGTCTCCATCCTAGTCGCCAGACCCCCCGCTACCCCCGAAATTCCCATCAGCCGGCAGTTGTCCTTGCCTGCAAATGGCAGTTGGTTTTTGGGTTAATTAGCCAAGTGAACGTTGCGGTTACGTGTGCTGCCTTTCTCCGCTACACCAAACCGAACTGAACCACCCATCCAACCGCCCACCAGTCGCCGTGTGAAGCTAATTGCAAAATCCTATTATATATCCATTAGATACGCACACATCGTACAAAAGTATCGCGTCGCACAGTGGCGCCTTGCGCCAAAAAACGTGCAATAAATCACTTTTTCGACTTTGTCCTAGAAAGTTGTGACCCATACCAATCGACAGGTAATTGATCCACTATTACAAATATGTAACCCTTTTTCAAATCAAAAAATTTTTGTAAAAGATATGAATTTTCAAAGTTGAACAATTTTTCACTTAAAAAAAACACACCGTTTTTAGGTAATTTTTCGCACTTCCGGGGGGTTTTTTCTTAAAAACTAGGTTTCGAATCGCTTTGCTTCTTTTTTCCACGGATTGGTGTGTTAGTTAAGAGTAAAAAAAGTAAAACATATTGCAGTTTGCCATGCGCATCTCTTAGTTATGAGTTATTTGCGAAACGTCCATTTTTTCCATATTTTTCAACTTTGATGGAAAATAAAAAAAACTATTTAATACTATTTTTTTTATACTTCCGTAAAACGTTATTTGGACTTTCTTCTTGATATTACGAAAGTTGTAGCTGCGTCCGCCTGCGTCCGCGGTTTTAAGAGCCAAAAAAGGTAAAAAAGTCATGGTCCCAGAAATTGCATATGGCGCAACCTTGTCCAAAACATTGTGTTAAAGTCCTGAAAATTTTATATTATGTTCAACAGCTCGATATAAGAAACTTTAGTTCTACCACTTTTGGAAAAAACCCGCTGGTTTAGCGGAAAAACAGCTATAAATAGCTAAAATACGGAAGGCCGTAACTTCTAAAGTACTTAAGCTACAGACTTGTGCTGTATCTCGTTTGAAAGGTATTTTAAAATGCTTTAAGCGCCTTCTGTATGTAATTTGTGTAAATGTAATATTTAAAAAGATATGCACAAAACAAATTTTTTGTAAGCTTTTTTTTTAGCCTTTTATATTTTTCTCAAAAACGGTTTCAACGGTTCCCTTTAAAACTTCAAACTGTATAGCCCTTGAGATTCCTTAAAAAAAGGTATACATCATATTACTGTAAAAAATTACGTTTAAAAGTAATTCAGAAACGAAAATAGCCACTTTTGCCAGCTCAAAACAACTTACGCTGCCTAAGCATTGAATTTAGTATGTGCGAATCCAAACTGTATTTTAAGGTCATGGAATCACAACCTTGTCACAGAGTTAGAATCTAGTAATTATAGTCCAGAAATGTTAAGTCTATTGGATTTACCAAGTTTACCAAATTGTGACCATTATTTCAAAAAACATGAAATATAAAAATTTTTATTTTTAAAAAAAAACTTTAATTTTTTTTTTTTTTTTTTTTAGTTTTTAAAAATTAAAACATAAAAAAATAAACTAAACAAAACGTAATTTTTAAAAAAAAAAAAAAAATTTTTTTTTAAAAATTCCAATTTTTTATTTATTTTTTTTTAAAAGTTTTAAAAATTACAACATGAAAAAAGAAACTAAAAAAAACAAAAACTTTTTAAAAAAGTTTTTTTTTTGTCGGAAAAAAATGGATTTGTTTTTAAATTCTGACTTTGCCGATTTGTAAGTACGCCTCTGCCACGCCCACTCCCTGTCTCAAGCAATAATTTGAAAGGTGGATCAATTATCTATCATTTGCCGTTTACAAAATTCAATTATCTTCACTGGTTCAAAAGTTATGATTTATTACCAAAAAAAAGTCAAAAGGCGCCACTGTGCGTCGTCACATCAGAAAGTCAGACCCTCACTTTCCCCGAACCTTTAACTAATAGAATTCGAGTTTCCATCTACTTATATATAAAATTCATAGACATCTTGGCGTATACTTAATGGGAAAAGACTTTCTTTCTTGATGGCATTTTGTCACTCATTATTTTTCATTTATGCACATTTTTAATGAAACTGGCCATTTCTGTGACATCCCCTTCAATATGCTTCTTGTACGAAAACGATAACTATAACTATAACTATAAAGATCAAGCCAGCGGGAGTGAACCGATTTTATTCCAATCTGTGTGTGGTAAACAAAGTAATAATCATAAATAAATCGGTCTATAAAGGCAAACGAATGGCAAAAGTTTCACACAAGAGATTTTGGTATACATAGAATCCCGATGATGCATGAAACATTTATATACAAAATAATTACAGAACTAAAACTTTATGGGGCGTTTTAAGACTTAAATTAATTTTATGGCTTCAGAAATGCCCACAAGATTTGTAGAAATATAAGTTAAGTCTACATGAATATCTAAATTAAATTGTTACTTGAATTTTGTATTTATGCTCAGCTTAATATTTATTAACATCTGACTGTCATTAGTTTAGCTCAATTATTTAGCGGAAAACTCAACACCAAAACTAAAACTAAAAACATTTAAAACTTGCATTCATGTTGGCAGCAGCTTGTTTGTTGAAATGTTGACGAGAAATCGTGGTAAATTATATAGGTATATGCAAAACAAAGGCTGAAACGCTTCGGGGTAGAATAAACAAATTTACAATTAATTTCCTGTTCGAGGAAATTGGCAAAATATTTGACAAATGCATAATTGAAACTGTTGGCGTTGTCGGTTGTCGGATGTCAGATGCTGGATGATGAATAAAACTTACTCGTTGTGCGGTATATCCTCATCCTGATCGGCGAATGCAACAAATATGTGCATTTTGAATATTAGCACGCCCAGCACAATGGCCACAAAGCAGCTCCAGTGTTTGCTCTCCATTTTTGCTGTCCGTGTGCGTATTTATGTGGATCAATTTGTTTTGTGATAGTTCACGATTAAATTCAAATCCAAAATCCCTGGTTTGCGGCTATCGATCGATTTTCTGCGTTTCCAAATTGTATAAATTTTTGTTTTATTGTTCGCGTGCTCGGCACATGGGATAAGCACCACAGAACAGTTCACAAATTAAATAGAATTTCCGTTTTAATTGATTTATTTTTTTCTTTCACCTATTGACACTTTGCGAAAAATGTTCTCTGCAGCATCACAAAAGTTTTTATTTTACGTTCTTATTGCATTTTTATAGTTTGCGATAGACTTGTTTTTCCAACTTTAGTTTCGGATTATATTTCGTTCTCATATACTTGTTATGAACGATTTAAAGCCGGATATTTTTTGTAGCCAAAAGTTTTTATTGCTTTTTCCGAGTATGTTCAACATTGTTGCAAAGCAATTTTGGCGGTTTTTATATTTTGGTGATAAATGTTAATTGAGCTGGTAGTTGGATATGTAGTTAAGTGTGCTTTTGACCTGAAATAAAAAGGAAAAAGAGATATATTTTATTATTTTATATTCGTTTAAGTTATCCAAGCTATGCAAGGATATGTTTTGAATTGTTCTTAAAATTAAATATTTATAGTATTTGATTTTACTATTTGAAAGAAACTATTTCCTTAAATTTTCCTTATTTGTATTCCTGATTATGATTATTAATTTTTTTTAATTTCTTATTTCTTTCTCAATTAAGTAATACAACAAAATTCATTTATTTATCAGTTTGGTGAACATGATATCTTTTTTATGATGAATATATAAGATTATTATTATTATTTATTATTATCAATTCATTTATTTATCAGTTTGGTAAAAATGATATCTTCTTTATAACGAATATATAAGATTATCGTCTTCTTAAAATTGTATAAATCCTTTAAAGTTTAAACTTCTGGCCATAATTATTAATATATGCATGCTTATATATCTATTAGTAAAAATTTGTACAAATATGCCAAATTTCGGTCTGCGGCCTTCAAATATTTATTTTCTTCTATTTTGGAAAGAGATTTGGTTTGCGAATAGTTTTCTTTTGGTTCACAAACAGACCAGAAATATTTCTACAATATATGTTTTTACGATTTTGATTGTGGACTGTGGGCCGATGGGCTGGGGCTTATTCCCTGGCTCCATGTGGATTTGACCTAGAAATGCGTTTCCACCCACCGCCCCACACGCACACAGATGCAGTGGCATAACTCACGCTCACACGGACAGGCGCAACTTCGGGATGTTTTCGAAATCGAGAACTCGAACTCGAATCTGGCGTACATGCGCAGTGTGGGAAGGCGGCTTCACTCATTCACCCGCACTCCTGGCCCTGCCAGAGATTCGTCCTTTTTTGTATGGGCATGCCACCCCCTAACAAGGCGCACATTGCCATACATCCTGCGTCCCCAAGGATATCGCGTAATAATTTTCATTAAACACGCTGCAAGCTTTTGCCTTTGCCGTTGGTCTCCGCAGCCCAAAAACCCTGCGACCACATCCGCAAGAAGGGAAGAATGAAAGAAAGAAAGACAATTTATTGCGGCCAATACGCACTTACATATACATAATATGTGTGTGTATATAACCGGATTTCGCACGCTTTTCTGATTCCCTCCCCCGTTTCCTCATCTGCCTCAACATCAAAAAGTTTGACAGAAGTGGAGCGCCATCCACGCTGGGGATGCGAAGTCGAAGCGGCACCACATGCAGAACTACCACAAAGTCAACGACTTCGATGCAAGCCCTAGAAAGTAGGCTACTTTAACCATCAACTAACTAATATTTCCTCATATAATACATTCTTTTTCTATATGCAATAAAATTCTATAAAAGCAATAAATTTTGGGAATTATGGACCAAAAAACTATATATTGAAAATAACTTACAATATACTTAATATTTTGATATTTAGGAAAAAAGAGTCTTCATTATTTTTTTTTTATTTCCAATAACATATTGTTCTTAATAATAAAGAATAATATGTCATGCAGTATGTTTAGAGATTGCTTTAAAGCAGTTTTAATATAATGGATATGATGATCAAGCTTTTATATTTAATACATACTTAGATACTGATAATAAACTTAGAGTTGCATTAAAATTACTACAAATCTGATTAAAAGAATAACCTTAAAAAATAAATCATCAAAAAGAATATGATGAAATTTCCCACACCTTATACCTCTTTTTGAAAACTGTTCTCGTACTCATTGATAATGTAATGCATCTAACTGAAAATCCCCTCATTTACGATTACGCCATCGGAATAGCCTTTTCCGTTGGGGTCTTGGGTGGGAAAAAAATGGAAAAAAAATAATAGTGATAATAAAAATAAAAGCATGTGCAACATGGCGTATACGCAACGTTGGCATCAGGCAACGTCAAGCGGACGAAACCATTGTTGGAAAGTGAAAGTTTATAGTTGGCGCACGTTCATAAAGTTTTGCGTGTTATACAAAAGATTTATTATATCGCATATATCGCTAGCTCCTGCCATTCTTTTTTCCATTTCCCCATCCTGCGCATTCGTCCTTTCCCATCCCGATTTTTCCCTCCGCACATTTTGCCTTTCTGTTTTGTTTGCCTTTGCCGTTTTATGTTTGGCCTGACTTTTTGGTTTTGTTTGGCCCACAGCAGCGACAGCTTAAAAGCAATATGGCCTTGGGAGTTTTCGTAATGGAATTAATGTGCCTGTGAAAATTTCAATAGGTGGCGTACAAAACTTTTTTACAACCAAAGACGGATATGTCTGTGTGTCTGGCAGTGGAAAATGTTGATAAGTTATAAATCTGTTCACTGTTGGCTTTTAAGCCGGTCACATGACATATTTATTGTTCATTGTACGCTGTAAGACCCTTTTTGCATTTGAGTTTTACATTTGTTTTGAATATACAATGCTCATTTGCCAAACCCGTAAGTTAAGTTATTTAAAAACGTCTGTTTGCCTGTTTTTCTAAAAAACTAAGATTAATGGAAAATTATTTAAATCAGTTGCAAACATGAATATTAAAATGATTTCTTTAATTTATTTTTATTAAATAATCAGAACCTAACATTTTTTCGTTGGATTCTCAAAAAAAATAACTAACATCCATATTTTTTATAATTATACTTAAATATTTGTTATGCTGTCGAATAGAGTTAAAAGAACAGAGCAAAAAACATTATCCTTGGATTTTTTTTATTATAATCAAAGATTCCTTTATTATTATTATATTATTGTATTATAAGATTATACTTATATTTTAATAAACTAAAAGAAGGAGAAGAAAGCATTTATTATTTAAAGTTTTAGAAAGAAATAATCTGCCCTGTTCTAGTTTTCACTTCCGAAAGATTCACACGGAATCGAATTTCTTAGACCAGTTCCAGGACTCACCTCCGAAAGAATTGCAAGGATTTAAATATCCCTCGTTGTTACTCTGTTAACTTCCGAAAAATTCACTTGGAAACTTTCCGCCAAGCATTTGACAGGCGGACTTAAATCCGCTAGCATGAAATCAAATTCACTTCCGAGTGAAAACTGGAACAGGCCGGAATATTTTGCTTAAAATGCTTATTTTTTCTATGATATGGAACGTGCCAAAAAATAAGTTTATTTGTCAAATGTGTAGATTTAATGTAAATTTACAAAAAAAAAAAATTACCCTCTAAGCCCTGTTATAAACACATTGATTTATGTACAGAGCATGTATTTCTTTTATATGGGTACCAAGCTTTGGGATGGGGATTTAGGGGGAGTTGGGGAATTGGAAGGCCAGCCAGAGGTTACGGGGTATTGGTCAAGCCTTGAGATTTTACGCAGCTGCGTAAGCTGCGTGGCTATAGTAAACGATAAACCGTTATTATGTGCCATGTGCCCATGTGAGTGTGAGCGTGCTGGTATGTTTTTGGGGGAGCGTGCGTAGTAGTAAATAGTAAAACGGCGTAGCATACTTCTTTGGGCGCGCAAAATACAAGGACTCCCCCCACACACACACACAGACATATAGTATATATGTATACGAATTCGAATTTTGATTTATGCTCTCATCAATTGAAACTTTGGCCAATTTATGGGAATTTTGGGGATTTTGTAGCCACGCTTTCGTTAGTTATTTCGCTTTTTGTTTTGCCCATTTTATTGTGCAATCAAAGGGGGGAAACTGGCTCTCTCGCAGGACTCTCCTCCCTCTCTTACACTTTCGTCCTTTTTTTCTTTACTTACTTGATGCTCCGGTGCGCGCCAAATTCGCAATTTCGAATTTCGAAGTCGAGAGTGCGAAAGACTTGACCAAAAACAAAGTGGCCAAGTGGCTCAGAGTGGTTCAGTGGTTGAGTGGATGGGTGGTGCAGCGAGGTGGTGCAGATTTGCCGACACTTTTTACTACGCGACTTTCGAACTGGAGAAAGCGACGGCAAGGCGACGCGAAAACGAGAAGCGCGAAAGGAGAGACGAGAGATTTATTTGGCTGCGCGGCTTCGTCTCTTCGGCTTTTTGGCGCTCACAATTATTGCACCACCACCACTACCATCACGGGCACACGTTCACGCACACGTACATACATTATACATATACACAGGGATATCTGTATTGGATTTTTTTTCCAAAGTTTGGATTTTGAAGATATCCTGCGGCGAATACAGAGATTTTCCAACTGACTTTGCAACACTCTAGCACTTTATTGTTGAAAAACACTTTAAACTTTTCCGTGTAACAAATTTATATTGCACATTGAGTTGGTATTTCTTTCTTTTTTTATCGGTGTTTCGGGTTGCATTGGGCAGAAGTGAATTTTTGTTTGGACGCGGTTTCTGCTCGGAACGCATCCACACTCGCCAGATTCTCGCCACGAACTGAGTGCGCTCTTTGGGGCAAGATAGCTGGCTGTTGGGGCACAATTCCTCGATTTCTCGCCATTCGAACTCGTTTCCTCTCAACTCAATTTGGCCAAGACCGTTGGGGTTGCTTTCTGCTGGGGTTGCCAGATGGACTTTAGGCCACTGTTAACTCCTCCCTCTCTGTTAACGAATCAGAATGTTAATGAACTACAGAGCTATCGATATAAAGGGTCAAATTGGAACACGTTGGGCGCCAATACTTAGACTCATTTTAAAAGAATTGTGTCTTATGAAATGTATTTAACCTAAAACAAATACTTTATCCACATCATTAGCCATCATAAATACCATTTTGCATGATTATTTTCAACTCCAAGGACATTCGATTCCTCGCCAAAATGTCAAAACAAATACAATATTAAACTCGAAATAAATTAAGCTCTTGTATTTTGTTACATAAATATTTATTTTGTAAAAATTTGTTTTCTACATCAGTTTTTGCACACACTGATTTGATATGTTAAAATAAAATACCCCCCAAGAAAAATACCATCAGAATTCCTGTTTTATTTACAAAAATATATATTTATTTACTCATTCAATTCATCTTGATTTGTATAGTCAATGATTCTGCAACTGTTTGTTTATTGACATCAAATCATAAATATAAGCGTACTTGTGAAATTATTTAAAATCAAATTCATATTTTTAAAATGATTATTGCTTTTAAAAACTACAAATAAAACATAAATAGATTAGATTTTTTTGTTTGCTTTTCTTTTAGTTGTTGTTTTTGTTTGTTTTTTGTTTATATTCCAGCCTTAATCGTATGAACACTTACATGTTATTTATGCCTAAACTAAGGAGTAATAATATTTTTCTACTTTGCGTTGTTGCCTTTTGAATGTACATAAAATTGTGTAAGCCATATAAAGAGAATTGTACACTTATATAATAATATATTATATGCGTTTCAGTTACGGTTAATTCTTGTTTTTGTGCGTTTTGTGTGTGTTTTGCTTTATGTACAGGATTTATTTGCTTAGCAAATTATGGCAAATTAGTCTAAATTAAAAAAAATGTTACATTGACGTATAATTCATACATGCACTTGTGTTTCTATAGTCTGTTGTTCAATTCATGTATATAACTCATATATTCTTCTTCAATTGCCATTTTCTTTGTCACTCCATGTCAGCTATGGACTTTTGTCTTGTGTGTTTGTTGATTCATTGTTAGTGGGATTAATTGTCGAATGAAATGCAGGGTTCAGCATTAGTGGGTTTAGTTAGATTTAGATTTCCTCGACTTATATGCTAATTTTAGTTGGTTAGTCAAGTACTCTGCTCTGGGCTTCCGCTGCCCTCTTGCTTCTGCGTCAGTTTTAGTTTTGTTAATTGGGCTCGTGGTGATTGATATTGGATGACTGACTGACTGGTTGACAGCTGGACATGTTTGATTGCGAACCTAGCTATTTTTGTTTCCTTTTTTTTTTGTTTTTGAGGCGCCAGCAAGTTTGTGACCATAGCACAACTTAAAGCTGGACTTCGTTTTGCTCCTTTTCAACAGGTATTAGTCTAATGGTTAATTCAGTTTTGCCTTGTCTGCTATTCTCTAGGTGTATAATATATATATGTATGTATGATAGTGTACATTTAAAATTATATTTCTGATTTTCTATAAATACACAAAGTTAAATATTAAACTGAGCGAGGAAAATGAATATATATCGCGAGTTGAGAAACAAAAGCGTGTGGAAAATTTCAAATTAAATATGTTTTTAGCATAGGAATTAGGCAACTAATAACTTTTCACTTAACAAAAATAATTTAAATATAAGAAACACTTAACGTAGAGACTGTTTGGGCGGGTGGTGTGGTGAGTGTGAGAGAATGGTTGGGCGGCCGATCACTCAGCGATTGTTGCTCCTGCTGCTGCAGCTGGTCGCAATGTTGCTGCTGCTGCTCATGATGCTGTTGCCGTTGCCGCTGGCAGTGGCAGAGCAGGTGGTTGTTGTGGAGGAGGAGATGCCGCTTCTGGCCGCCGTCTCATCGCCCTCATCGCCCAGATACTCGTCCGGCTTGTGACTAGAGGCGGGAGGCGTCAGCAGACTCTCGGGGGCGCGCAGCGCGGTGGCCGGTGAGGCCTGAATCCTAGCACGCATCGCATGCGCCGCATCCTGGGCCATCAGCACTTCGTCCTGGAAAAATAAGAAATTCAATAAGTATTTGGCTAAATAAAATACAATCTTAATAATATTCAAGATATCATTCAATTCAATGGATTATTTTGAATTTTTTGTTTTATATGAATGAATTAATTCAAATTTTGAGTTTAATAGAATTGAATAAATTTTAAATTTCGAGTTTAATAGAATTGAATGAATGAATGGCATAAATTCCGAAATAATTCAAACGACAATTTATTTTGAAGAAGAAAGGGCCATCACTTTGTGATTAAATCTGCATGAATTTTATTTTCTAAGCAGTTAACATTGATTTGATAAAAATTGTTCACTTTTTGTTCTCGAAAGAAAACAGGAAAAAAAAATCAGGCAAATGCATAAAAATTATTTATTCTTTTTCATTTAATTCGAATCGAATTAAACAAATCAGATATTTTATGGTATACTATGATAAAACAAAAATTGAATGATTGACGCAGTGCTCTATTGCATAAGATATGACCTTTGAGATACTTACATACATATCCATTGTGGTGGTGTGCGTTTGGATGATGTGCGAGTCGTCGGTGACAATATTGGGACAGATATGGCCCAGGCCGAATTTGTTGCTGACTTGCTCGTTCTGCTCGTTCAGCTGCAGGTAGGTGGCCTTCTGGGAGATCACCCGGAAGAAGGGCTCCATCCAGCGGGCGCAGGGCTGAATCACCTGCCAATCCAGGCCAGAGCAACGCAAAGCTGCCTCCCTGATAAAGACAAAAAAGAAAAGGTAAGACATACATTTATTTTAAGACAAGATTAGCTAACTTACCGACTAAAAGTATGACTGATGGCGGCCGCTGCGAGCACCGAGTACGAGTAGTTGGCCATTCCCACGTCCAGGGTGCACAGATCCAGCAGCTGCGAGGTCTGCACAAACTCAAAGCCAGAGAACTGCGGGTAGATGAAGGCATCATCCGCCTCGGCGGCCTTTTGCCGACCAATCTGCGAGAACGAGGCCGGTGTGCGATTGTTCACGTTCAGCTGCATATAGACGCCCAGCCAGCCGGTGATGGTAATGGGGCTGATGTCCCAGTCGAGGGCCTGCAGCAGAATCTTCTCGTGGTTGAGGATGTCGCGCTCCGTGCAGGCGCCGTCCGTCACGTAGGCGAACTCGCCGATCTTCGGCGGATAGATCTCCTCCACCTTGGCGGCCACAAACAGGCAGGTGATGCCGATCAACTGCAAGTGGGTCTTCTGCACCTTATGCGCCACATGCAAATAGCGATCCAGGTAGTCGACGGCGAGGTAAAAGGTCTCGCGATGCAGTTTGTACACCTCGCAGACTTCGATCAACCAGTCCAAGAGGATGGCGCGCATGCGTGGCTGCAGGCCGGGATGCTGTTCCAGCATGGAGATGCTGCGCAGCCGCGAATCCTGCTCATCCCGGTGGCACATTAGGCGCCAGACATCGGCGGCATTGGCCCAGTTCAAAGCAGGCAGGGGGCACTGGCGGAGTGCCCCGTTCTCCACGGCCGGCGACATGCAACTGAAGGCTGCCGCATCGTCCAGAATCTTGTTCTGCGCCGGCATATTGATCATGAGATCGCTGACCGGATGCTGCACCTGCTGCTGGTGTTGCTGCAGGCCGGGAGTGCGCTCTCCATTCACCGCCTGCTGCTGGCTGCAACCCGAGGAGGCTGGCGAAATGGTGGACGAGTAGATCTCCTCGTCGTCGTCGTCCTCCTCCTCGATCTCATCCTCCTCATCCTCGTCGTACGAGTAGTCCTCGCAGCTGTCATCCAAAAGGTCATCCTCCTCCGGCTTCTGCGTGACCACAGTGGTGGTGGTAATGGTGGTGGTGGTCACCACCTGCTCCACTCCATAGCGAACCACAACTGGCGCCTGCTTGGCACCGCGATCGGGACTCGGCGGACTGTCCGGGCTGTCCGGCAGCGGACTGTGTGGCGCCTCCGACAACTCCTCGGCCGGAGAGCTGCGTATGCTGAGCAGCTCCTGGGTGCTCTGGCCATCGGCCGAGACGACGGGCGAGGTGTACACCGAGGAGGCCACGGAGGAGAGGTTGCCCTGGTCGCTGCCGTACAGGGCGGGCAATCGCTGCTGGCGCTTGGCCGATGGAGGCTCAAAACCGAGTTCGGGGTCCTAAAATAAAGCAAAGAAATAAAGATACATTAATAAACTATTTAAATAAATAAAGTAAAATAATAAAATTGAAAATAGTAATCATCAATAAACTTAAATATTTCTTTGAATATTGTTGTTAATATTATTATATTATTTAACAGGAACTCGGATTCTCCGATATTCCATTTTAATAATCTTACATTCAAGTCAAGTTCTAGAATTTCTAAAGAATATATCATATTTCTCCGATATTCTATTATAATAATCATACATTTGAGGCAAGATCTATAATTTTCGAAGACTATATAATTTTTCTGAATGTTTTAAAAGTTTTGGCTATCCAGTAATGCAGTTCTTATACTCTATACAAACAATCTTTACCATTTCAATAAATTTGCGCTTCTGTTCCAACTTCATAATAACATGAACAACAGAATGGAGAGGATACTCAAGTCAATGGATCGGGATCACACGGTTGGCGGACTTATAAACGTGCTCCGAATTTAATTAGCCAAGGATGGTTTGGTTATTGGGGAAATTTATGTGGGCACGCCTGTCAAAATTCGTAATCCTTGATAGATGGACCGTTGCTGATGGACCAAATGCACCCGCACAAATTGAGAGCCAGGAGATCACACAAAAGATCAAGGACTCTGTGTTCGCATGGAGGTAAGACAATAACACTCGGGATGAATGTTCTCGTGGGAACGGGTTTCGTTTTTCTCTTTGCTTTTCTTTATTTTTGGAATGATCAATATAACAAAATCGTTATTGCACTTTTTTGCTTTGATGTTTTCAATTTGGTAGCAGTCTTTGGATTTAATTTGTAGCTTTGTTTCTTTGGTATGATTAAATAATTGTGCAAACTGATTTTTTGGTTATAACATTTTTGGCTTTGCTTTGGTTTGTTGTTGGTGGGTGATGATCTTGGCAAATCCGGTTCTTAAATTAGTTCTTTGCACTCGTTGTTTGTGGTTTTGGGTTTCATAAATATTTGGCAGTCTTTACTTTTGCAACTTGACAACGGAATTATTTTTGGTTTCAGTGTCTTGTAGTTGTTTAGGTATTTTTTTTTTTCTTCACTCCGCTCTTGGCTTGATCGAGTACCAATCGCGTTGATGTGCGCTGTGCAACTGAGCTCGACGTTCGCCGTTCCAGATCGCCGATCCCCGAACCCCGATCCCCGACGCCCGATCGTCGTTATCCTGCTCAACGAATGCAACGGCCTCAAAAATAGGGGTTGCTTTTTTCCCCCGACAGACTATTCACTGCAACACAACAGCAGTAAAAACAGGATCGATAACCGAGTTGCCATCTCTTTCTATCGGGGGTAGTTCCCGAAGATATCCGTACTTCTTGAGACGACTACGACGACGTTGTTGTTTTTGCATTGCATTTTTCGCCTCTGGGTGTTTATCAGCCCAACAACAAATCCCACTGACGGCTGTGGCTCCTGATCCTTTTTACAATTATTTTTGTCAACATTTTCTGTGCGTCCAGGTAGAAGACGTTTGGAAAATCACTACCTACATAAGCCTCAAAACAACGATACATAAATATAGTACATAGGGAGTATATAAATTATTTTTGCTAGTATTATAGCTTTTGGCTCGAGCTGCCGGCGGCTGCATTAAAAATCTCCTGCATCTTGGAGGCTACTCAAATAAATTATCTTTTGGCAGGGAATCAGAGGGATGGGGCGGTGATAAAGGCAAATGTAGAGCGAGCCTAATGGAACCTCAGCCTCAGAGACCGACTCATAAGATTACAGCACGAAAATGACAAAAAAAAATAAAGTAGAGATTGGAATGGAAACGAAAAACGCAAACAATTGAGATCCTTGACCATTGTTCTCGCAGACAGATGATGGAAAACAGAAGCCAAGATCAGAAAGTCCATGAAGTAAAAAACCGTATACAATATGGGACACAGATGTCACGCTTGGATTGCTGACTTCTAAAAATATTTAATCTTAATCTTGAAACTAAAAGGAAATAATTTCTTCATATCACAAAAGTTGGATTTAAAAAAACCCAAATAATAAAAAATTTGATTTCTTTATAACTTGGTTTTTTACATCTTTGTTTCTTTACTTTCTTAATAATGCCAGTAAAGAAATATTTATATTAAGAATATTTAATGTATCTAAATCTAAAATCTCCCTATAAACATTATTGTGAATGTTTTTCTTTTATAATTGTAAGGTCAAGTCCCCTATTAAAATTCCAAAAATTGAAAGATTTTAAATTATGATAAAGGTAACAATAAGTTTATACAAAGAATATAAAATCCAAATAATTTCGCAAGCATTTTCAGATTTCCAAGTTTTACGATTGCAATTGATCCTTTCATTGATCGAAAAAGGTTGCGAATCATATAAAATCTATCAAATTCTGTGTGCATTTCGTCAACTTTCTTAACAGTCAATCTCACACGTCGTAAAAGCTTAACAACATCTAGCAACCCTGGTGGCCATTAAAGATTTTCACATAATTTGTTGCGTAAAAATGAGGGAAAAAATATTGCGATATTTATGTGACATTCTTAATTGTCTGAGTAGGTTTGCCTTTCCGACAAACTCCCCTCCTGGAGTCGGGGGCAAATAAATTGTGTTTTTCCGTCAAGACAGGAAGGTCCAAGACGCATGACAAATTTAATTTCTTATTCTTCTGGCCAGCAAAACTGCACCAACCCTCCGACGGCGAAGATGATGTAGGTAACCGGGAGTGGCAATCGTAGAATGAAAATGAAAATGGACATGGATATGGACACATGTCAAGCCATCCAGATGCAATGTAATTAAAATCAAAGCGTGCAATGGCCTAAGAAGCCAGCTCTGCCAACACAATGGACATTCCTCTTGCCTTATTATTTCACTTCTTTTTCCTGATTTTGGTGCGTGGACATTGCATCTGCCATTTGGATTTGGTCAAGCGTTAAGGAATCAGAAAGATTATGCAGGAAAATTCCCAGTTTACTTTATGACATGACGGGATTCGGGATTCCGAAGAGAAAGATCGGCCAAGTGAGTGTGAGAAATTAGTGAACTAGTGAAGTGGGCTGGAATCTGGACCAATTTTTGGGACCGAGAGGGTTGCATCCCAAGTTTAACAAGGGTTAAACTGGGTTGTTGCCCTTAAGCCGTCGTCGGTTGCCTCAAGGATTTAGCCCAAGAAAAAGTCCAACGAGGCAGCTGCTGCTGCAATAATCGTCCTTCATCTTGATGATCTGCTCCTTCAAACGCAGCAAGGCAAACCCACAAGGAGCACCCAAAACATCTCTCGAAATCTCACTGGGAGGGAGACCATGGGTCGCCAGGGCAGATGATGCAATTCCTCAAGTTATGGGTACATACAGAAAAAGCAGTCAAGAAGCGATTCGATTGTTATGCGACAACCTCTGCTGAGTCGTCAACCTCAATGTAGTATATCCCGGTGCCCCATTGTGTGTGTCCTTTCTCTCTCTATCCTTCTGGTTTTGCCTACCCTATAAAGTCCTGCGCTTATGTGTCGTAATCTTTCGACGGCCGTCTGCTCGAAAACGAAACACCTTTAGTTTTCAGACCTTGGCGTGGGTCCAGGTGTAACTTTTTCACCGCTGCTGCCTTGTAATACGCTGCATTGTTGTTTCATTTTATTTTTCTTTTCATTTTTTTTTTCATTTCTCCCCCAAGTCTTTTGATAACATTTAATTTTTTCTCTATGGTCCGCCGGTAATTGTTAATATTTTTTCAGGGGCCCCTAAAAATGCCACGGAATAAAGATTAGGATTTCCTAGAAGTTTAGGATATAGCTAAAATAATACAATATTTTTACAATGACTGAAAAAGCTAACAAATTACCTTTCTTCAAACTCAACTCCTGTCCACTTTTGGGACATCATCGGTGCTCTTCTTTTAATAAATGATATGCAAACAACATGCCAGAGGACAAATCCCAGAAGGACCATAACCAACACTCATATTTCCAAGCAATTCAACTGACCCCTGGTCAGTCCATAAAGGGTTAATCCAACACAGCACTTCGCGGTAACTTGGCTGGATTTATCATCGGGGAAATATACATTTTTTGGGTTGGCCAGGGGGACAGCGAAAGTGCTTGGACATGTAATTAATCATGCAATTGGTTAGATCCATGACAAAACGAATTAAAGCATAACCCATTGGTGAAACGGGAGGAGGGTAAAAGTGGACAAAGGACAAACCGCGAATGAATTTTGAATGCGAAAAATTGAGTGATGAATGTTAGGGGAAGATCATTTTTCATCAGGATATTCTATGACAAATTTTCTTGGTAGATAAACTCCTTGAAAAAAATTTCAAGGCACAGTTACTTTATTTATTAATTTGTAAAATTAATATTTCTAATTTTATATAGTATAACTTTACTTTTAAATACCACCATGAACTATCAATTTGTTATCTAAAATATATCAAAAGATACCATTAAAACTGGTTCCTTATCAGATGAATCTTGAGTGTCATTAATCTGAAAACAGATCACTTGCAATCCCAGTCTTCATCTATTGTTTACCTCCAAGCTAAATAAAATCCTCTTTAAAATTAAAAAAAAACTTTGAATTACAAAGCAGACGCTGCATGATTCCAGAACGGGATGCAATCTGGGAAGTTGAAACTTGAATTCAGTTTCCCACAATATCCTGAGACTGACTTGACAGAAATCAAGACCCGCACACTTGATTGCAGCGAAAGAAGGAAAACCAGACGAAAGCAAACCCAACTCCCCTCTTTCGGGACAAAAGAAACAAAGAAGTTGCCCAAAAAATAAAGGGAACTTTCAGCGATTTCATGCCTGCCATGTAAAAAACTAAGAAAAAGGGGTTTACATTACACTGACAAATTGGTAAAATAATACCATAATTTTGATCCTTGAGCCAGCAGCAAAACAAATATTGTATAATATTTCAGGACCGCATTCCGAAGCAGGAGCGTTGTGTCCCGGGAGCAGATGACACAAGAGACCGTTGCAACAAGGAGCTGGGATGATTTGCATAAAAGTTTAACGGAAATCTAATGAGCAGACGTCGCAGGATCGCAGGAACGCATTTGCATAAGGATAACATGTTCCGAAACGGGGTAGCAAAATGCAGCCCAGTTGGAAAGCATTTTTTATGGGTTGGATCTTCTGCAGAAGCAAATGTCGTCTCGATGAATATTTAATTAGGGAAGTGGCAAAGAAATGGAAAAACTCGGCCCAGTGATCCTTGAAAAGGATAAGGCGTTGCTCAACCCCTCCGCCGTGCGTTCCTTCCTTCGTGTTTGCGGTTTCAGCTCTGTCCCATTCCGGTAGTCGCCCCGGTCCCTTACCCATCCCGATCCCGATGATACCGTCTTGATCTAGTTCTCCTGCCTCAAGCTAACCTATAACTATCGCAATTTCAAATTCTTCCTACGGCCTTAACGGACATTTGCCGCCTTGACTTTTCGGAAAGGAAAGGAAAACCCACCCCTGGAGATGTCGGACTTGGACTCGGCTAAAGGTGTGCGCGCATGCGCAACGACGCCTTCTGTCCTTGGTCTCCTTGGTCTCCTTTGTCCTGCCGTGCATATGCTCAACATTCAGCCAAGCCAGCCAAGACCCCTTCGGAATTCCCTAACTCAACAACGTCCGCCTGAAGGGGGGACAAACCATTTTTTTCGTATGGGAATGACATTTGTTTGGCAGGGAAGTAAATGCAGAAAGGTTGCAAAAACAAAAAACAGCACAGAAAAAATACCAATGAAGATAGAATTTCTTAAGGAATAGACTGTTTAGATACCCTTGTCAAATTATATTTATTAAACGTCTTTGATTTTACTTTGTTTTATTGGACCCAATAAACAGAGTTTTCTATCAATATTACTTTTGAAATACTTTAAAATAAACTAAATAAAAAGTTTTAAAATTGAAAGAAAATAAAATGAATAAGACAATACAAAGAGTTTATCAAAAAAAAAATACAAAAGAGAAAATATATAATATTTAAGAAAGATTTTAAAATTTAGTTGTCTTTTAATATAAAACTTTAAAATATTTTTGCACTTAGCTTTAATTAAAGATACCCCTAAATAGGGTACCAAACTACCAAACACGAAAACAATTTCTGCAAGTTCATTGCACGTAAAGGAGAATATTCTCTCCCTTCCATATTTCATAAAGCACTGGAAAAAAATCCTTTGCACCAACACAGCTGCCGCCCGTCGCCAGGAGAAGAAGCCATTGTTCTCCGCCTTGATTGCAGCTACTTGAGAGGAGATCTGACTTCAAGGCCTCCAAGGATGCTGCTAAACGAGCCCTTTCACAGTAAGTAGCGTTTATTTTTGGGCTCATCTTTGCATTGTGCCAGCGCAGCGCAGAAGTGCCAAGTAGCTGTCTACGTGCCCAACTGCTTATTTGGCTAGAGATCAAGCAGCAAAAGATCAAATGAGGATCGGCAGCCAAACGACTGGAAGCCACGAAAGGGCTACCCACTCAAAGGGAAGTACAAACAAAAGATCGTTTGCCAAACATACGAAAAAGAGAGATGTCTAAAGATCACTGATCAATGAAAACAATTAGAAAACTCTAATCAAATAAATAAATATACCAAATACTTTTAGTAAAAATATTTTTTGATCAATTCCTTTTGGAAGATAATAACAAACAGCAGCTGCATGGTAAACCAATCGAAATTGATCAGTTATATGCTCAGTAAATCTTAAAGAATTAAATTAAAATAAAAGATAATTGGCCAATAACTTTATATCAGAATTTCTGATAAAATTCAAATTTTTTTCATTTTGTTACCTAACATAAACAAAACTGATCAGGATGGTATTGTTAGCATTAAAATAAATGTGTTAGTTATTAAAACAATATGATCATAAAAATCTTGAAGATTGATCGCAGTGAGAATAAATTAATATGAACATCAAATCAATTTCAAATTCCGAATAGATTGATCTAGCAACATTGCAACAAATTAGCTTGATCATCGTTTTCGAAGGTTTTTGGGGTCATCTCTATCGCTCTTTGCATTTCCCTGATAAGATTGCAAAAATCAACGAGGTCACATGGCCTGATAAAGCAACTTCATTCATAAAACTTATCTGCCATGTCTGGGAGCCTTACATTTAATAAGTGTGGATTACTCACCTTAGCATCATCGTTTGAATCGCTGCTTAAACGCCGTTTACGTTTATTGCCATTGGAAGTTGTGGCTGTGGATGTTGCAAGATTCTGGTTATCACAAGAGCACATCTCGACTGTTTTGGAGGCTGCTGCTGCTGCTGAGGATGATCCCGGTAGCTCTTCTTTAAACTGAGTCGCCGAAGAAGATGGGATTGGGTTTGGGCTAATGCTGCTTCTAATATTATTACTACTGCTGCTACTGCTGACGACGACGACACTGCTGCTGCTGCTGGCTTCTCCGTTACTGGGGGCGTTGGTGACTATGCTGCCATTTGGCTCAGTGCTGCTGGTAGAACAAGCACTGCAAAAGAAAGTATATGAAATTAACAGTGGTACTATACCAAACAAAGTGTAATAAAATTTTTATCAAAAAGTTCAGATTTTTATATTATATCGTAAATAACAAAATCATTCTAAATTAATTCAAACAAAGTAAGAAATTGAGAAGTGGAACAAAAGGATTTTTAAATTCTTAAATAAATACAAAAAGTTATAATATTTTGTAAAATTATTGAAGACATTTAAATAATATCCTAAATATCACATTTTTATTCTAAATTTATTGAAAACATATTCAAATCCATTAAAATTTCAGACCACTGTGCGCTTGACTGGGGATCAGTTATTTCCAATTTCTCCTTTCTATTTTTTTTTTGCAAAATAGAGAAATTCAATATGCCACGGAGGCAAGCAGCAAATCACATAGGGGCGTTTTAAAATAGATACAAACGAAGCGAACATAAATTCATTGAATTTTGACACGGCATTCGGAATCGCGATGCGAGACTCGAGATTAAGGCGCCCAACGGATACATTAATATTTAACATCCGGGAAATTGAAATCGAGATGACTGATCGAGGGAAATGGAAATGGGATCGTCGATGTGAGGGCCTTTGAGGAAAGCCTTTCCTCCTCGAGATTGAGCAATTTTGGCAAATTTGCATGGACATTAGCATAATGCAAGAGGCTGGCGCAAATGGAGTTTCCCTCCTTGAGAACAAAACGCAGATGTTCTATCCCTTTTGCCGCAACTCTCAAGTGTTGCAAGGCAGCCAACTGCACTTTAAGCAATTCGATGCGCGAATTTTTGCAATTTGAGAAAACAAGAAATCTAACCCTTGGGACCGGTAAGGTAAACCCTTCTTAAGGAAGAAGGGATAAAAAAAGGGCTGCTGCACATAAATTCAAATGCTTTAGCCATTTCTTTGGCTGCGAGCTGCAGCCTCCTGTTTTGATCCTGGCCCTGGACTATCGATCGCGCTTAATGGTTTAATGAACAAGAAAAAGTAATCACGTAGTAAATTACGAGGAAATGGAATCGCTTAAAAATGAGTTACGGCGAGAAAGGACTAATGGAGCGTACGTGCTGGCGGCCTTCAAGTTTTTCCCGCTTTCTTTTTGTGTTCTTTGTGTGATTCGAGGTTCCCGAGGTCAGAGGTTCGGTTCTCCGCGGCTTAAGGTTCAAACTGAAATTTGTCATTTCGAGGTGAAAGTTTCCTTTCCTTTTGCGCCGAAGCCAGAAACCTTGCTTCGGTTTGGTTTCCCCTTTTTTCCAAATCCGAATCCCTGTAGGTAGCAAATGGTTGGGGTGACTATCTCAGAGATGATATGGAGAAATTCTACAAAGTAGTTCCTGGAATATGGTCCAGTGCATAATATCAGTGGACTATCGAAGGATCGATCTTTCTCACATGATAAATTATAAGAAACAGAGGCGGCTGGGATTAGGAATTAGTTATTTATGGGTTTACTTTTAAGACAGAAGAACAGTTATGTTCGGGAAATCATGTAATCTTAAAGGTTTTGGTTCGTAAAGTCAAGTTGTTCTGTGATTACCATATCCTATAGGGCGCCCTCAAAAGTATGCAACAATCTGTGCGTAAACTTAAATTTTAAACTTCTGTCAACTTTTTGACAAATTCCGTTATAGATGTTTCGCAACACATACCAATAATTATGTCGCACACATGTTGACCACGAAATATGTCCATAAAATGGACTATCACTTAAGTGATCGCTGTGATCAGTGGGTCGCAAGAGGGAGGGAGTGGGCGATGATGATGTTGAATGCCAAAGGGGACGCAACTGACAAAACCAAATGACTAGGCAATTATGCAATTATGGTCATGCGCAGGCACCCACAAGCAAAAATATATGGGACAGGGTGAAAACATATTAAACTCAATTAATTTTTTTTTTGCCCAGGACATGACTGAAAAAGCCACAGAAAGTGTGTGTCTGCTGTGACAGCATTATCAACCCCCTAAAGTAACCAAACTAAACACTTTTCTAATGACATTTTCGCGCGCAATTATATACTAATCACACGCAGGACCTCGACAGAAAAAGTCCTGTAAAGGTATGCAGAGTGTTGAGGAATGCGGCACTTGGTTATCAACGCAGTTTCGACTTTAACACCTACAGAAGCCATCTGTTTTTTTGGGCATTGACAGTGAAAATGCATTTTAGATTATCGCACTTGAGAGTCAGAAGGTTGAAAACGGCTGCAGGAACAGTAGGATCCCGAGTGGTTATAGCTCCTGCGGGTCCTACTTTCCCGGGGAGTATTCGGGCATAACCAGTTGTATAGGCTATGTCACTTTATAATTACGAAACAGCTATTAGATAAACATCACTTTTGGTTAAGAGAATTAAAGGGAGACGCGCTGCTGCCTACCAGGATAGTTGATAGTTAGTGGTAAAAAGGAAGTCGATCGGATGTCGCCACAGGAAGTCGCTGAGCGTTAGAAACAAATGGTATTATGTAGAGACCCCGTTGGGGAGACGCCTTTTGGCTTTCATGTGAGGTGCTAATTAGTTTGGTCAGGGCTGCGGAGGAAATGGAAGTCACGAAAACTATTTGATGGGAAAAGGAAACGTCTAAGATCCGAAATAGAGTCAAGAAAAAACATGCAGGTTGCGAGAAAACTTCGATAACTTTCAGCTGGTTTTAAACTGGTTCAAAATCTAAATTACTTCACCTGAAATTAATAAATCCTATACCACTTAAAGCATAAAAAGAAGTTTAATATATTTGTAAATATAAAATACAGACTTTATTTGTTAAAAATGTGTACAAGATATTTTTCGTCATAGCATTACCTATTTAAATGCAGAGGGGTTTTTATTATAGTAATTTTCGAAAAGAACTAATAGAAAATTTTTTAAATTAATAAAATAATAAGTTTTAACTTACCTCTTGGCATTTAAACCCATAATTGTACGGCCTTGAGTAGCCGTTAAGGTTATTTATCCTGAATATTCCTTAAAGTCTGCTCGTCAAAAGCAGAAATTTTTTGTATAATTTAAATAATTTAAAAGGAACTGAAAGTAGAATAAACAAAATACAAAATAAATATTAAATAAAATAAAAACAAATTAAAATCATTATTCCACCATTTTAAATATAAGAGCCAACGATATGGTCATCACATGTGACGTGTTTTCGAGTTTTTACGACTTGACAAAACCTATCAACAGTTAGGTCCCCGACATTATCTGTAGATCCTTGTGGAAAAAAACAACATATGATCCTTGAGAGGAACTCACACACACAGCATGTGGTCGAGGAGTTTCCTCGCTTCGAAAACCCCAAACAAATTTGTTTACGTGAGTTTTTCTCGAAAAACAATATAAATACACCAACTTTTTGCTTTTAGCCAAAACGAACGTAAAATAAACATCTTCCTATGGGTACAAAGTGTGTCTAAGATATTCAAATTACAGAAACAGGAAGATGGGCAGGAGTTGGGTCATCTTAACAGGTAGTCACGGGATCGTCAATTTTTTTTATTATAATAGAATTTCCACGAGTCTCGATTGATGCCTTTTGCTGCAGGTTCAGCTTCAGCTGCTCTCCCTGAACTTCCTGTACACTTGAAAAATTCTAATCTATAATCTATTTGTAATACAGTGAAATTAAATTAAAATAAAATAGAAATACTTAAATATTTAATTTCCTAAGATTTTAAAATATATAAATATTTGTAAAATCCTTTTTTGTAATATCTGACTTGTAGAATTATTTAATTTTTTGAGTGTACCAGTGTCAGGTGCTTCGCATTCGGCGCATGCGCAACGTCCACGTTTTCTAGTGGTTTACAACGCTTAATTATATCGAGAAGTCGACTTGGGTCCTCGATACTTCCCCGATGCACCTGTTGTGGCTAGAGTTGATCGCTGGCCTTCTGTTAGAATTGCAGGATGATTTCGAGGCAGAAGGACAGGTGAGTGGAATATAGTGAAGTGGAGAAGGGGAGCGGCAGCTGTTGATGATGGTCCTACCCCAACTTAAAGGATTCTGGCAATGTCTCTGCTGTTTCTTGTCCTGATGTAACGTCAATTGACTTCCCCCTTCGCTAATTGTATCCTGTCGCGTTTCCTTGCTTCCCCCTCCCCTCCCCTGTTTTCTTTCTTTTCTTCCTGCTTCCCTTATTCATTTTCCTTTTTCTGTGTGACATATGGGCCGCCTGGCGTTATATTTGCCACGATTTATGGACCTCCCTTCGGCCTACCATTCAGTTCGACACCTTTTCCTACCCCATATGCGAATGCTTTCTAGTCAACGACTTTCATTCCCTTACTTTCTTATTCTTATGCAACGGTATTCTCTATTTTTCTAACTACTTTTTTTTGCCTCTCTTTTCGTTTGCTTTTTCCGGCCTTTTCTCATGCACAATATTTTGCTTTTTTCAACCATCATTTTCACACTAATTGCGGATATGCCTTTTAATTAATTGGGTTCCCTCTTCTTCCCCGAACTCCTTTTTAAAGTATTCTTACTTTCTCAGTTTTGTCTAGTTTTCAACCCCCTATTTACAACAAAGAAATTTTTGCTACATAAAAAACCCATAAAACTAGATATCTCTAAACGATCGTTTTGGAAATAAACACATAAAATTTGGTGTAAGGTAAGCTTATGATCATAATCATACCAGCTGCATAAAGGGAATATTCTTATCTAATATGAAAACAATTTTAAATAATTATTTTTGTAATACAAGAAAGATAATTAAAATAAATTGATATAGATTAATATTCATTGATGAGATTTTAAAGAAACTAGATGGGATCATTCCCAAGGAGTTGACAAGGGATTCTCGCAAACAAATGACTGTATTATCGCTAAACCGATTCTTCATGTCCAAATACCAGCGACTAACATTGATAGAGCCCTAACTAATTGCCAGGATTGCCCACACGCAGGCTGCACAACTTCCTCTAATGAAGATTAAGTGAAGAAGGCTGCGACTGCGAGTTCGGAAGAAATCCGCGGCGACAGGTATACAAATATGAATAATGCCGTGGATCGAGCGGATAAACACAGGGGTTTCCTCTTTGCTCTCTCATCTTCCTAATTAAAGACGATGCATCGAGGTGAATCTGTTTACCTGGACGGGGTCTCCGCCAAGGTCATTTAACTGGAAAAACCGAGTGAAGCAAATAGAGTAGGCCGTATTTTCGGCAAATTTAAAGGCCCCTCTCATCTCGAAATATTTGCTTTGTGCAGAAGATTTCCCACAAGGAAATGGAACCAAGTCTCGGGAAGATATAATATGTAATGCAACTTGAGGCAATGCAAAGAAGAATGCGCAAAATGCGCAAAGGAGAGCGCAAAAAAATAAAAATAAATAAATATGTATGTATCTCATCGGGTATATACTATATGGAGTAGAGGGAAAACAGGTCTCGAGTTATCCGGGCCGGGGGCCTCTGGAGACGCCGTCGTCTTCAACTGTCTGGGCCTGCAATTTTTGTGCGTCCTTTTTTGGGCTGCATTTTGGGCTCTGCACATGCGACGAGATACATTCCAGAGATACTCGAGATAAATGCACATGTATCTGGGTATCTGGGTTTCTGCTGTTGCGTTGTCAATGCCAATGCTGCCTTCTCCTCCTTTTGTTGTGGTTTGGCTACATCTCTTGCAATTAGTTGGAAGTCCAAGGGCCGAAAGACAACAAGAGTTGCGAAGATACAAAAGCTATAGCGAGTCTTTGGACTGTGTAAAGTTCTATATAAAGAAATGACCCCCTAAAATTCGCAATTTAGTTATACCGTTTACTTTAAACCTTCTAAGTAAATGTTTCACGAAACTGAGATTACTTATATAAAAAAAAAAGTTAAAGGAGAAAAAGCCTTTAAAGGCTGGATTTCTTTTTTAAATTTGATCATTTAGATGTAGCATTCTGAAATTATTTAAGGCTTGGGTTATACTAGATCTTCAAGAACTTAAAAAAGTCTATTAAACACGATTTCTATTAATAAGTTTCAAAAGTTTGTACTGATAGGGTATCAAATATGTGCATATTTTTCGAGCGCAAATAAATATTTAGGATAGCATACCTGAGATATTGTAAGTGTACATGGGTATGATTTTAATTTACTTTAACAGAGGTTTTTATGAGTAGGATGGAAATCCTAAGCTGGCAAAAACCAACCAGAATGTCTACCTTCTTATCGACTCCCTACCGAATATACCCGTCATGCAACTAACACATTACAGGGTAGTCTGAAAACGAAAACAGGAAAGTCGATCCTCGTCGAGGTCTCTTCTCCTGCGTGTCCGTGTATCTCAGTATCTGAGTATCTGTGTGCTGTTTCTGGTATCTGAAGAGCGCCGCCTGGGCAAAACGGCGTGTGAAAGTAAAGCCGGACCAGCCGAGGAGCAGAAGAGCCGAAGGAGAACAAATCAAAGTTCTTGAATGGAGCGGCACCAGCGGCGGCGGCGTTCCAGTTCCAGGAATCGACGGCCTTGAAGTAGCCGTTAGGACATCGAGACGCGCTCAATTGACTATTTAGTTTATATTTAGCAGCGTCTAAAAGGATGCTGATGCTGCCCACAGCTCAAGTGGCCTGCGTCCTGTTCTTCTCAGCTCTTCTGTTCCCCAACCTCCAGTCTCCTGGATGGACTATCCTTTGTTTGTCTGGGAATAACTGGAAACTGTTTATCATTGTTGTTTCTGCCCTTCGTACGGCTTCTTCTCCTCCTCATTCCGATTCCGAATCGGATTCTTCGGCTGGAGCGACAAATATGTATAGACAATAAAGAAAAAATCCCCACACGCACCATTTATTTAAGGAGTTAGTATTCACAACTCATCCTTGGATAGCATGTAATATTTGTAAAACATTCCGCACTTGTAATTGAGAAATATTTTTGGTATTTTACCAGGAATTCGGGTTAATATGGGCAGGTGATATGTGTGATTCCGATACGAACCATGTATGATGTGAAAATATTACAGATATTTTTTGGGATCTCATCTCATAGAGAAATTCCTTTGATGGAGCGCCGCTTTTATTTTCGAAGGTGGGAAGCACTTGATTAGAACAATAGTGGAAAAGGTGTTGACTTGGATTTGAATAAGTGATTTAGGGACTATTTAGATTGGGTAAACAAAGGAAAAATAATACACATCTTGAAACTTCAGATAGTAAAGAAAATAATATATTTTCCCTAAATTCCTAACATCTCAGACCAACCATTTAAGAACCGAATTTCGGCTCGATCATGACATAATCCGAAAAATTAAGTATACAAAAAGCCACCCCATCAACAATCCACCAACCAGCCCCCACACACGCCCCGCCACGCCCACTCAACAAGTTTAACGGCGCCGAAAGCAAAGACGCAAAAAAGCTCGCCAAAAAAGAATGCGAAAAAATAAAGAAGAAAGTCAAAAATTGCGAAGAAAACAACAACAAAATAAATTGTAGCAGGTAAATGGAAAAACGTAGAGAAGAGAAGAGGGAAGGAACGAAGATGAGGTGGTAGACGAAGAGGGAGTGGGAGTGGGAGGCGAAGCAATAGCCAAAGCACAGAGAAATATCAATGAACTCCATTCTCCGTACGCGTAGATCAAGTTAGCAGGCCATCTCGCTCACTCATCGGTTAAGACCACGTACAAAGAATTACAACACGGAAAAAAACAAGAATGAAATGACTACATTTTAAAAAAGTGAGATACCCATTTTGATAAAGTTTAATTTTGGGACTAAAATAGATGTAGGAAAATTCCTTGTTGCTATTTGAACTTGGCTTTAGCTTAAATATAAATACCTTGATCTAATTGAAATTTAAATTGATTTCTCTTTTTTCTGTGTACCAAAGATTTTTGCGCCACTTTTGACATAATTCATTATGTTTTTTTTTCTTTACTCTTTTTTCCCCCATTTTGCTTTGCCCACTGCTTCGTGTTCGTCAAGTTTTCAAAAGGTTCGAAGTTTTGCGTTGAACTTTTCCCGCCGTCTCTGCCGCTGCCGCAGTCGACGTCGGCAGAGCAGTACTAAAAAGTTTTTGTTTGTTGTTGCTGTAGGGCGGTTGGGGAAAAATAACTTGACTCGCTGTTCTGATTGGAATAAAACGGAAGAGAGCGAGAGAAAGAGAGCTCCCCCTCTCTCTTAGGGAGCGCATTTCTTCTACGTGTGTGTACGAGTGAGTGTGTATGTGTGTGTGTCATTGGAGGAAGCGTATATAAATGAAATGAGCATGGGGAAAAGAATGGAGAAACACAAAGTGGCGCGAATTAGGCGTTTGGGCTGGCGCAGTTTTGTTTTACCGCCCAAAATCTATGCGAATGGCGGGAAAAAGTGCAATTCGGGCGGGAGAAAGATTAGAAAGTTGGTCTTAATAAAAAGGGGGGCCAAAGAACAGGCTGCATACCATCATCCTGATAAGGAAAACTCCCCACTCTAATTGGAAGATTGCAAGTCGACTCTATTTTTTAGTATCCCTTGAATAGCAATTCTTTTAGGACCCTTTTCAACCATTGATCACTCTTATATGACGGCTCCAATTGGCACTTCAAGCATTCTTATGGAGAACTCTTTGGGGGTGGCCCGGTCCAATCAGAAACCAACGGTTAAATCCTACAGCGTGTCAATTTTCTTATAAGAGGACGTGTTGTATTTGTAGCAAAAAATGCAAAGACACGACGGCAAACGCAGCCGTTTCTCTCCCACTCTCTCCTTCGCTATCCCACACACACTTGTCACACACCACACACGCGTCATATACACTTTTTTCCACTTATTTTCCGTTCATTTCGCCGTTTATCCAATCAGACCATTGTGCAATTGGTTTTTACCTTCTCATAAGTAGGAAAATGCCTGTTTTCCCCAATGTTTTCACTGGTTTTTCGAGGGAATATTAAACGATTTTCGAGAGTTTTTCGTCGTCGTCGTCGTCGTCACACGCCGGCCACGAAAAAACTTCACGAGCAGCAGAGCGGCGGCAGCAGAGTGATCGCTTTGGAACCGAAAAAAAATTGGTGGAACTGGGCACCGAAGGCAGCGACGCCGGCAGCGCGACGACTGCGACGCCGACTGCGGCGAGTGTGCAAGAGGAACGCGCCAAAACAAGCTGATCCGAAGCGCCAAAAAATGCAACAAACACAGGGGGCGACTTTGTTGTACTTTAATGGAGCGACAGATCGACAGGGACGGGGAGAGCATCTCCCGCGCAAAGAACAGGCGTGAGGGAGCGAGACGGGGCGATGAAGCCGCTGGTGGCAAGCTTGGCATTTTATTGAATGGAGTCTGCAATTGGAGTCCCTTGGCGGCTAGTCAGACTCCAATTGGAGGTTCAACGGCGCAACAGCTGGGTGGTCGAAAGCCAGCTGACGAGGATGCCAGAGGGGCGGAATTAGGTCAGTATTTTGGGTACTTTAAAAATAATTTACTTAATTTTTGTGTTGTTTCAGGACTAAAACTTGTCTAGTGGCCCTATAAATGATTACTTTTAAGAAACACCAAAACTGAAATTAAAGTCATATATTTAAATAGCCTGAAACTCACTTAAAAGTTAAACAAATTTACTTTAACTTGTAAATTTTAATCAGATAAATATTATATTTTCCTAACATTTTTTGAATCCTTGAATAATTTTACGATTTAGCCTTTTTAGATGATTTGAATAAATTCCAAGCCAATAACATCTGACCGTACGTTCTCAGCGCACCTAGGTGGCAACGCCGCCCTGAAACCAAACAACCCGCTGCCACTTTGTTGTTGTCATCGATTAACATTCGAGCATTTTTGGCACCAAGTTCGGCGGCCTGTAAAGCCGCTAAACTAAATGAAAACCCACGGGTATTTGTAACCAGCTGAAAGCTTAAAACTCCGGCAATCTGATTTTTCAATCAGAGTGAAAATCCCTTTTGATTTGATTGAAATAGAACCCATTGAAGTTGGCGATTTCCCGCGCGCGGGAACCCGACGTCGCCGCGCGCTGCTGACAGCGATGACAGCTGCGCGCGCAGAGAGCGAGCGCCAAAAGAGAGAGGGGGAGGAGAAGAGAGCGAAAAAACGTCGACGTCGCTGCTCACGTTTTTTCGGTCTTTTTTCACTGGTAGAATGTAGATGAAGAAAAAAAAGGTCTAAAGGAGATCGCTTGAAACGTAGAGTTCACGAACTTTTGGGCCATGCACCTGCTCCAAAGCTCGGCCGTTAGCTGGCCAAGATCACTCACCTGCTTCTCGGCAGGATTTGGCCAAATTCTCGCGGGGATTGGACACGAAAAAACACACGCGGACTGGAGTGATGAGGAAAAAAATTGCACACACCGCCGCACACTCACACACACACAGAGGCAGACGGGCACACACTCGGCCAGCCAGCAAGACAGTTTCACCTTCTCCTTCTTTTTTCCGCTTCTTGTCACCTTTTCACGCCGTTTTCTCGGGCTCTTTTTCGGACTTTTTCACGGTCAGCTCAACCCCACGCAAGTCAAGGCCAATTCGAAGCGATCCCCGTTGGCCAGCACAAGTTCAAGTTAAGCGCAAGCACACTTTTTCGGCCTTTTCAGCGACTCGAAAATAACACAATTATCGGTCGGTCGGCACTGCGGCGAGATGAGATCGAAATCGAGAGAGAACGATCGGCGTCGAAAAAAGGCAAGAGCAAATGGCCTGGCCACACGGCGCAAAGAGAGAGCAGAGAGTGTGCGGCGTTGCCACTGCGGACGATCGCGGGATTTTTATGGGGCGCGCAGTTTGAATGTTTGAGTGGGCTGTAGTTGTTACGGGATATTTCCATTTTCTGTTTCATCATTCTGTTTTTCTGTCACTTTACTTATTTATATTTTAATTGAAACTTTCACTTCACTTATCTTTATCTGAATTTAATGATTTCGTTATATTTTTAAACCTAACCATCAACTGAAAATTTGACTTAATTGCGCGCGCTTTTATTTTAAAAGTTAAATTTTTGGGAAAATGTGGAAATACAAAGGGCTTGGTCACCATTTCTTATTATAATAAAGTATTAAACTTTTATTTAAGAACTACAGTTATTTAGATCTTTGGATAAGATATACCAGCCCTCCATTTTTGTTGTTTGTTTGGAGGCGCGCACTTTGAACTTGAGATGGGGAAAGTTTTTAATATAGTTTTTGAAATTGTTCTTTTTATTTAGTCAGTTGGGATTCACTTTACACAAATCCAATATTATAACTTTTATATACTCATGTACTCAGATTACTCAAGCTAGAAGACACACACTGAATTTAAACTTTCGATTGCGCGGTCTATTTTGAATTTTTATATGTATTCTTTTTGACTTTAAATAGTCCTAAGTAAAAATTAACTAAGTGTTAATGGATTAAAATAACACCTTATGATAAAATTATCCTTCGTGCTTGGAAGTTACAGCTGAAAAAACACTTTTCTTAAGCATCAAAAAATAGTCAGTAAGTACGCGCTATAATTTAAACTTTTAACGACGTGAACATTTCCGGTTTTGTAAATTTCTTTATCAATGTATTGAATTCTCTGTATTTTAATAATTCTTAGGAACATAGTTAAATAAAATCAAAATTCAAAAAACGCTTCTATTTACACATTTTCACTTAAAATTTTTTAAATTGTTGGGCGGGCAATTTAAATGGTTAATTATTTTCACGATTAATTTTGATAAAACTTGTTTTTAATGCTGAAAGTAATAAATTTTTATATTTAAGTAGATTCCTTGTTCTTTTTATTATTCATTTTAGCATATTTTTCATATATTAGTCCGACATTTTAATCTGAAAAAAAGTGTATTGCATTAATTACTTTTAAATGTTCGCGCTCTTTGTTTTGAATTTAGATAATATAATTTACTTCGGTTATAAGTTAACTTTTAAGTGCACTTTTTTTTTTATTTATGATTTAATTATAGCTTAATCCCAAAAAAATATCTTTCTTTATGGTGTTCGAGAAAATCCATTGCAGATTAAATTTTCCACAGCACCGTGTTTTTGCGCGCAATTTTTTTTTTAACTTCTCTCGCACTTTGTTAAATGCAATTAATTTGATATGTGTGATCTCGCTAAGACTTTTATTTTACCATTGTGATGTTAATCTTAAATGAATTTATTAAAATTAAATTAAATTATTTTAGAACAATTTTAAAACACTGTTTCGTTTATATTATTTAATTTAGCTTAATCCAACTGGTTCATGATCCTTATCAAGATTGGTACTTCGTATAAATTGTGGTGCATAGTTTAAACTTTTCTATTTAAAAACAATTTATAATTATTGCATTTGTTCCACACTTGTTTTTTTGGTAATTCGTTAGTTTTGATTAGATTAAGAATAAAATATTTTTTACGGCACCTATTAATTGTTATAATTAATTCCTTTACAGTTTTTCTGTTTAGTTTATTTTAACTCTTTGTTTTAGTGCAAAAAGCCACACCTCTTTAAAATATTTCATTTTCTTGGAGCTCCAACCGCAGCCTGGTTTCTTCACAAGCTCGAAAATGCAAATAAAAGAAAGCGGCCGATAATGAACAATTTCGGCGAATTGAGCACACCACTTAAACTGCTTAGACAGCTTTTCGGTCAAGTAAAAGCCAAAAAAAGAATATCCGCCAAGCGCAGCAGAAAAACCTCTTCTTCAGCAGCGAAGCAATGGCAAAACGACCATCCATTCTCAATCTCCTTCTCTGTGTTTTCGTTTCCATATTTATTGCGATTTTTGTTTTGATATTATTAATTTACGATTCAAACTTAAGAAATCACTAGCGAGCTCGGGGACGATCTCCAGCTTATAGAGGCGACTGCTTGAATCCGCGGGCCGCGTAGTCGGAGGGCGCCGAGCGATCGGATACCTTGGGATAGCCCTCATCTCCGGGCACGACCGCCTTGCGGGAGTGGATCACACGCCAGCCACCCTTTCGGGTCCAGTCCTGGAATTAAAAGTGAAGTAGGGGGTTTTAGGAATCATTAATAGGCTTTAAATAAAGTAAAAATAAATAAAGTCGTAAATTTAGCTACTGAATGGGATACTATATCTATATTATACATTTTTAGTGTAAAGTAATATGGAAGCTCATGTAGGAGTAATTGGCTCATAAACATTGATCCAAAAATTCAAATAAACTCTAGCCTTTACTTAAAAGAAAACTTTCCGCATTTTATACATACGTTCTAGAAGCCAATACATTTTTGAATAATTTTTCCTTCAGAAAATCTAAACTTAAAATAAAAAAAAACTTTAAAACAATATATAGCCAGAATATTATAATATGTAGGACAATGTTTGCTATTATATGTACAAAAGACTAGATATTAATATTATTTTATCAGATCTTTGTTAACGCAGCTCCATAATGGCATAAGTTACTCTGAAAAAAACCTTTGAGGTCTAACAAATAAAATATGGATAGTATTTTAACCATTTTTTTGAATTCATAGGAACTGCAACTAAATAAATAACTACATTTCAATTTTCAATTTTGAATGTGGATATATTAGTTTCTGCTCAATAGAGACCGGCTTAAAATCGTGTGCAGATAGAATATTAAACTGGATTGATCATATCTTCTATACTATCTTATAAATATCCTTTTCTACCCTGATTATTGCCCCTGATTTCTTAAACCAGTTACATAGAAACCCTGTAGCCTGTCCAATTTGAATCCTGGACCCTTTACACTTACATTCTGGTTGTACTTGAAGTAATAGGCGCCGGCATAGATTCCGGTGAGGGCGAGGAGTGCCTTGCCGGTCCAGTAGCGCACGGTGAATGCCCGCTGGAAGCCCTGAAAGCCGAGAAATGGTTACTCCTCCATGCGATTTGATATGATTACATAACAGCCATGTTGATAGCTCACCAGGACGGGCTCCAAGACGCTGGCGACCTTGTCCAAGGGAGCGCGGTAGAAGCGCTTGATGGGATTGTTGAGCTCCAGCTCCAGGGCAGGCACCTTGCGGGCTCCATGATGAAGTTCCTGATCCTTCAGCCACTGCTTGCGCCAGGCGCGCTCCTCGGGCAGCATGCCGATCAGGCGCTCCCGCTCGCGCACCATGCGGCCCGCAATGGCCATCGGCTTCACGCCGCCCGTATCCGAGGCACCACCAGCCACCATTTTGCACCGCTTGTTCCTGGATATCTGCGATCTGGACGTCGGAAAACGCCAACAATTGTATAATTTGATCGGGGAGCAAGAAAAACAGCTGTTTGGCTGAGTGTGACCGTACCTAAAAATATACCGTATTCTGGAGCCTGTGAACCGGAACCAGTTCGGAACATGAATATATTTATTTTTTAAAAATAACTGAATTAAAAAAAAACAACTTTAATTCAGCCCAATATTGTGAGATCTAGAAGAAAATGATTTTTTAAATGGCAAATCACATTGTCAGCAGTTCTAGAAAGAACGAAAAGTCGACCATGGCGATTATATCAAAGAAGGGAAGTGCTCCCATTGGGATTCTCTTCAATTCCGCTGGGGATTGTTTTTGACGTCATAAATATTTATTATATTGTGGTGACTAAATTTCTGTTAAGCATCGGAATTTTACTTTTTCTTATCTGTAACGACATTTTTCACCCAAGAGCGAGAGGATGATAATTGTTTTTTTTGGGTACTAAGATTTATAAAGAAATTAGGTACATATTCCTATAAATTCCCAAAATTCGGGTTAAGCCCTCGTCGTTGATGATTTGATTGCCCCTATATAAAGTCAAGCACCATCTGCGAGTTCTTTAAAGTTCGGCTAGCCGGGGCTTAAAAATAGATTTTTTAAGAAAGGATCAATATGAAATACGTATTTATTTTTGCCGCGCTCTGTTGTCTGTTAGGAGCATTGATGGCTCAGGGTAGACTTGGTAAGTATATATTTTTTAAAAGAAGTATTTAAAACTTAAACGTGAGGGAATGCTGTGCGCCTTAAATTTAACATGCGAACAAAAAACGCGGTCCTCGGAACCCTTAGAGAAACGGTCTTTAGTTTTATTGATTTCTCTGATTCTTTACTTCTTAAGGTCCGTGTCGCCGTTATTTAGGCCACAAGTGGATGTTTAGCCCGTTTTCGGAAAGGTGCCTTCTTTCTCACTATACCATTTGCACCAGGCGAAGTACCATTTTTGATACAAAGGAAGCATGCGAGAAAAATAATTTGATTTGATAAATTAAATGTTGTTTAACCGATCAGATGTCTTGCATTATAATTATTTAATTATATATATAATTTAATTATTTTTATATAAGTAACATAATATATATGTGTTCCAATAATACGATTTTTTAAACTTTGGATTTCCATTAATTTTTTGTTGCACCACTTCACTTTCAAAAATAGCTAGTTTTTTATACAAAACCGGACAGATTGTCTGCACTGAAGACTCTGAAAAATCGATAACCCCGCCTATCGTGTTATCGGCTCTTCACATGTTTTGCGGCGTGTGTTGAAATTGAAATATTTCTTAAAAAAGGGCAAATAAACGCGGATTTGGCATGGATATAGACGAGCTGTTCGACTGCTTCGACGAAGTGCCTCCTGAGGTGCCGCCACCGGTGGCCAACCAGGAGGAGAAGCCCTCGGGCAGCGGAGGCGCCAAGAAGGCAGGCAAACGGCAGAAGAATTCCGAGAAATCCTCTAAAGAAACGGTGGCGGAGGAGGAGCAGGGCGACGAGGATAGTGAGGAACCCACCAAGCGCCTGAAAAAAGAGGAGACGGAGGATGTGGCTCCGGCGGAGGAAGAGGACGACGACGACGAACCCGTTCGCACTCTCGACTTGGATGATTCCGCCGCCTTGGAGGCGCTGCGCACGAGAATCGTGACCCATCTGCTGGACGCACCGAAATCCTGCACCCACGAGGTGGCCGCCCATCCCGACCAGGAGTACATACCCCTCCAGCCCTTCAGCGGCGTGCCCGCCAAGGAGTATCCCTTCGTGCTCGATCCTTTCCAGCGCCAGGCGATCCTGTGCATCGACAATAGCCAGAGTGTCCTGGTCTCTGCCCACACATCGGCGGGCAAGACCGTGGTGGCGGAGTATGCCATTGCCAAGTCGCTGGCCGCCAAGCAGCGGGTTATTTACACCACTCCCATCAAGGCGCTGTCCAACCAGAAGTTCCGTGAGTTCACCGACGAGTTCAAGGATGTGGGTCTGGTCACTGGCGATGTCACGATCAATCCCTCTGCCTCCTGCCTCATCATGACCACGGAGATTCTGCGGAACATGCTGTACCGCGGCAGCGAAATCATGCGCGAGGTGGGCTGGGTGGTCTTCGACGAGATCCACTACATGCGCGACAAGGAGCGCGGCGTCGTCTGGGAGGAGACGCTCATCCTGTTGCCGGACAACGTGCGCTATGTCTTTCTCTCGGCCACCATTCCCAATGCCCGGCAGTTCGCCGAGTGGGTCTGCCACCTGCACAAGCAGCCGTGTCACGTCGTCTACACTGATTACCGACCTACTCCCCTGCAGCACTACATCTTCCCGGCCGGCGGCGATGGCATCCATCTCATAGTCGACGAGAAGGGGCAGTTTAAGGAGGAGAACTTCACCACCGCCATGGCGGTGCTGGCCAATGCGGGTAAATCGAATTAAATATAATAACAAAACCAGGGTTCGGAATTTGACACACATGTTAAAAACATGAAAAATTGTATTTTACATGCGTGTAAAATACAAAAGTGTTAAAATGTGAAATATTATTGTTAGCACACACAGATCACTTGTGTTTTTTACACAATGTGTTATTAACACGACGTGTTTTTTACACACTGCGTTTTTAACACAAATGAAAATTACATTTCACACACAGATCACTTGTGTTTTTTACACAATTAACACGACGTGTTTTTTACACACTCCGTTTTTAACACAAATTAAAATTACATTTCACTGACATTAACGAGTCAAAGGGAAAATGAAAACATATGCACAATTCTGACACTTTAATGTCAAAAACTCATTGTGTTAAAAACACGCTGTGTAAAAAACACGTCGTGTAAATAACACAAATGACATGTGTGTGTTATTTATGTTTCTATGTGTCTTATGTAGACTACAATTTTTTACACAAAAGTCAAAAATTTAACATGTTAATAACACAAGTTATTATTTTCCGAACCCTGCCCAAATCCAATATCTTTCACAACTTCTATTTTTTACCTTTCCAGGTGAAGCTGGCAAGGGCGACCAAAAAGGACGCAATGGCGGCATCAAGGGCACCAATGCCGGGCAGACGAACATCTTCAAGATCGTCAAGATGATCATGGAGCGCAACTTTGCGCCCGTAATCATATTCTCGTTCAGCAAGAAGGACTGCGAGATCTACGCCATGCAAATGGCCAAGCTGGACTTTAATACGCCGGACGAGAAGAAACTCGTAGACGAGGTGTTCAACAATGCGATGGACGTGCTCTCCGAGGAGGATCGCCGCCTGCCGCAGGTGGAGAATGTGCTGCCGCTGCTGCGCCGCGGCATTGGCATCCATCACGGCGGCCTCTTGCCCATTCTCAAGGAGACCATCGAGATTCTCTTCGGCGAGGGACTGATTAAGGCCTTGTTTGCCACCGAAACGTTTGCCATGGGCCTCAACATGCCGGCGAGGACTGTGCTCTTCACAGCTCCTCGCAAGTTCGACGGCAAGGACTTCCGTTGGATCAGCTCCGGCGAATATATACAGATGGCTGGTCGTGCCGGCCGTCGTGGATTGGACGACAAGGGCATCGTCATCCTGATGATCGACGAGAAGGTATCGCCCGCCGTGGGTCGCGATATTGTGCAGGGCAAGGCGGATCCCATCAACTCGGCCTTTCATCTCACCTACAACATGGTGCTGAATCTGCTGCGCGTGGAGGAAATCAATCCGGAGTATATGCTAGAGCGCAGTTTCTATCAGTTCCAGAATCAGGCGGCTTTGCCCGGCCTGCACGACCAGGTGGAGCAAAAGACGCTGGAGCTGAACAAGCTGAGCATCAAGGATGAGCACAACATTGCCTCATATCACCACATTCGTTCTCAGTTAGATCACCATGGCAAGCAGTTCCGCCAGTGGATAACAAAGCCCACATATCTACTGCCCTTTCTGCAGCCCGGCAGATTGGTGAAGGTGGCCGCTGGTAGTCAAGAGTACGACTGGGGAATCGTGCTGAACTTCAAGAAGCAGGATCAGAGCCGCAAGAATCCGCTGAAGACAGAGCCCAGCGTCACCATCGATGTGCTGCTGCATGTCAGCGAGGCGGCGGCCAAGTCCGGCGACACGGAGCCCTGTCAACCGAACGAGCGCGGTTGCATGGAGGTCGTTCCGGTGGCCCACACGCTCATCACCCAGATCAGCTCCATTCGGGTGTACTTCCCCAGCGATCTGCGCAGTGCGGACAATCGAAGGGCCGTCTTAAAAACCATCCAGGAGGCCAAGAAGCGTTTCCCGCTCGGCCCGCCGGTTCTCAATCCCATCGACGACATGAACATCAAGGAGCGAGAATTCCGCGACATTGTCGATACGATCGCCCAGTTTGAGACGCGCCTGGAGGAGCATCCGTTGCACAAATCACCGGAACTGGAGCGAATCCACAGGAAGTACCAGGACAAAGTGCAGCTGCAGACGGAACTGCACGATCTGAAGGCCGAGTTGAAGGCCGCACGCAGCCTGCTGCAAATGGAGGAGCTGAAGCATCGCAAGCGGGTGCTTCGCCGAATGGGCTACTGCAAGCCGGGCGACGTAATCGAGTTCAAGGGTCGCGTGGCCTGTGAATTGAGCTCCGCCGATGAACTCCTCATGACCGAGATGATCTTCAACGGCGTGTTCAACGACCTCACAGCTCCGCAGGCTGTGTCGCTGCTTTCCTGCTTCGTGTGCGACGAAAAGTCCAGTGAGTCGGTGAAAAGCGCCACGGAACTGTCGGGACCACTGCGCTCTATGCAGGATTTGGCGCGGCGAATCGCCAAGGTGTCCACGGAATGCAAACTCGACCTGGATGCCGATTCGTATGTGGATAAGTTCAAGCCTTTCCTCATGGACGTCGTGCTGGCCTGGTGCAAAGGCTCCAGTTTCCTCGCTGTCTGCAAGATGACCGACATCTTCGAGGGCTCCATCATCCGTTGCATGCGGCGACTGGAGGAGCTGCTGCGGCAGATGTGCCAGGCCTCCAAAACCATCGGCAATACGGATCTGGAAAACAAGTTTTCCGAGGGCATTCGACTGCTCAAGCGCGACATTGTCTTTGCCGCCTCGTTGTATCTGTAGGATTTTAGGAAAACCTATCGTAAGGCCTTATTTCCTGTTCTATTTCACTTAAGTTTGTTGGAATCGGAATCGATTTCTAGATCTAGAAATCGCTTATGGTTTGGATGATAAATTGCGAAATACTTGGAACTAATCTTAAATTAAGAATGTACAAGTAATGATTTCTGATACGAGCACATCCTTTGTATATTTTAAATGTTTATACGACAACCAAGAAGGATAAAATAAATGAGACCGTGAGATAACCAACTCTCATTTACAAAGTAACCTGATGAAAATTTGTTTTATTTGGTTTCGGTTTTAATTTAATGAAAATGCGTTAAAACCAGAATATTTCTGATAAGCAAATAAAGAATCAAGTAAGCAAATCACAAAACAACTTAGGGTACAGTAATATTATTTTATTTATGGACAAATACATTAAACTAGAATACATATAAACATATAAAGTGTTAATACATTATGCTTTCAATCATGTAACAAATGAAGGTATATACAAGAAATAATAATGTACACGATACTTATGAAAACACAAAGTTATTGGACGGTTCACACTGAATTTGTATGGTCATTTTTGTCTTATATGCGACACATAAAACATATAGAAAATATATAACTAGAGGTACATCTACATATGTATACGGGTAAGGCACACTTAGTTGGTACATTTTCGATGAGGACTGATAGTCCATCGAAGGCAATTACAAGAAATGAAGGCACTGTAGGTATTGCTCTTGATGATGTGTGGGAGTGGCTAAAACTAAGTGGTTTACATGATAATCTTATGATATGGGACGTTACAATATTATAAATATGATTTTTTTTTGTTAAATAAAGATTTGAAATAATTTAATTAATTTTTTTTTTATTAAGGTTAATTTGTTTCTGTTTCTTTCCTTACAATTTCAATCGATACAAAAGATTTTTAAAAGTAGATTTGATTTTTACTCAAACATTAAATTACAAGCACTTTTTTTAGTACCTAATTCTACTAAATATGATGGATTAAACTGCTTTTATTTACTCTGCAGAAAGAATATTATTAACTAATTAAAATATGATTATTAAGCTAATCTCTGAAGTAATAGTTTTAGCAAAAGAATTACTTCCTATAGTTATTTACACTTAGAGGCCGATTTTAAGGCTATGGAATGTCATTGATATGGATTTGTATTCGTTGGGTTATCAAACTTTCGAACAACTAAACTTAAATTAAGATCTTACGAATATTGGGCTTGCCTAAACTACAACTCAAAACTGAGATCTCAAAGATCTGTAAAAAACGTATTAAAAATACAAATTTAAACTTAAATTTTTCGGAAAACAAGTAACTTAAATTTATTTAAATTCCAGGAAAAGCTGCAATGGAGACAGATAATGTTTGTTAAATAATTTGGAATAATTAAAAATTAAATATAGGGGTAAAAAGTAAAGAAAAAGTAAAGAGAGTACTTCGACTATCAAATACCAGTTACTCAGGAGTGCGAGGGAGATGGAGATACGCATATGCGACTGCTTGCACTGCTTGAATTCCATTATTTGGTCATAACATTTTAATGAATGGTCCGATTTGAAAAAATTCTTCTAAGTTTCGAAAGGTATTAATAAGCACAACAAAATTGTATTTAAAGTTGTTCCCAAATCGTTAAATATGTGGACGCCACTCACATTATAATTATTGTAATATATTATAGTTTAAGGCGATTGTGGGCGTTAATGGAGGCGTGGCGTTCGGATGAAATAAACTTGCGCTGCGTAGGAAGCCCAAGAATATCAGTGAGTGATCCCAACCTTCTGGCTTTTGTAGTTTCCGAGATCTCAGCGTTCATATAACAAGATGCGTAACGTCATGATATGAGACGTGGACCTACCTGCTCTCTTTCCTCCTGGATCATTGACAGGCTCTGTGATTGGACGATTCGGCTGACTCCCTAAGCGCATCCCGCGCTTAGAGAGCGGTTACTTAGACGGATGTCTGAGGCACTCCCTCCACCAGTTGCGTTCTCCTGGGCTGCGCCGCTGGCTGTGAACTCAAGGTGGCCGTGGTGGTGTGGGTGGTGGTGCTGCGGGCGGAGGGCACCGGAGTGGTGCTCCGACTGCTGCCCGAAACACTAGCGGCCGTTGGAGTTCTCTTCGCCGGCTCCGCATGTAACTGCGTCACCGGAGTGCTGGAAAGTGGCTGCAGCAGACGCTTCTCTTCCACGGGCGGTGCCGCCACCACCTTGGCCGCAGATCCATTTCCATTCGCCTGGGAACGCGGCGTCGTCGCCCGCTCAGTTGGCTTCGCCAAATGACCATTGGTCTCCTTGAGGGAGATTCCCGATTTTAGGGACGCCTGGCTGCTGGATTTCTGGGTCATGGCCAGCGAACTGGGTGATCTCAAGGAAGTGGTGTCCGTGTGAGCCTTGCTGGCCAGTGTTTTGGAGGAGGGAGAGTCCCGGTACTCGTATATGTTGTCCCTGGAGCGAAGGGCATGGTGGTTGGTCACCATATGGGCGTTGTCCACGCCCCGTGGATCGGGTTCCGGCTCCAGGCCTTCGCCATTGATAAAGACATCCTCATCGTAGAAGCGATCCGATTGGCTGAGGATTAGGAAGAGGTATTATTTGATTATATCCTAGTATTATCTTCAAACTTACCGCTTGGCATTGCGCCACATGATGCAGCAGATGACCACCAGGACTATGAGGAAGAAACAAGTCACCGACATGCTCCAGAAGGCGATCTGAAGTGGTTCCTTGGGCTCCCACCAGTACTCGGTGGTGGGTGGATAGGTGGGCACCAGCACTCCGATCACCGTGGGCAAGTACTGTGTCCAGAAGGCGCACTCCGTCTGCCGGTAATTCAGCAGGATGGAGGAGTTGAACGTGGTGTTGATGTTCAGGTAGCGAATCTCGCCCTGATAAGCTCGCTGGAAGTGCATCCCTAGCACCTGTTGAGGCGTCGGATTGCTGGAATACAAATATATAAAAATGTTAAATAAAAGATATGTATAAATTAGAGTTCAAATTAGTATGATTTCTAATAAATATGTAAATAAGTCATAAATAAATATTTTACTATTACAAGTAGTGGTTATCAAGTAATTACACTATGCAGCATCAAAAATTTACCTCGATGGATGCTATATTTTTGGATTCGTTACGAATTCCAAAGTTAAACTGCGTTTTCCAAAAAGTTCCCCGACGCAAGGATTCTTTGCAAAAGGACCTCAAATTTCGAAAAGTGCTGAAATTGGATAACTTTCCGGAGATCTCAGAGGCAAACGGATACATTGTTTAATTTGGTGTTAAAGTTTTTAAAAGATATACTCTTTATCTTTCAAAACCCATACTTTGAATAATTATAGGATTTTTATTAAGGGGGAAACAAGTTTTAGAAAACATAGTCAAAAAACATAAAAGCATACAGCTTAGGTCAAAATAGTAGTAGTGTTGCCGTCCTGTGTTTTTAAAAGTTTGTTGTTGTGACTTTTTTTTATCCAATGAGTCTAATAGTACAATTATAATCAATACAATATTACCAGAAGAAGATGAATTACAACAACAAACTTTTAAAAACACAGGGCGGCAACACTACTTCTATTTTGACCGCAGCTGTATGTTTTTAAGTTTTTTGACTATGTTTTCTGGAATTTATTTCTGTCTTAAAAAAAATCCTAAAATTATTCTAAGTATGGGGCTTGAAAGATAAAGAGTGTATCTTTTAAAAAACGTTAACATCGAATCAATCCATGAATCCGTTTGCCTCTGAGAGCTCCGGAAAGTTGGACAATTTCTGCATTTTTCGAACTATGAGGTCCTTTTGCTAAGAATCCTTGCGTCGGGGAACTTTTTGGAAAACGCAGTTTAACTTGGGAATTCGTAACGAATCCAAAAATATAGCATCCATCGAGGTAAATTTAAAAAGCACTAAAAATGCTGCACAGTGTTATCAAGTAAGTAATTTAACCAATAAAATATTAATGTCTTTCTTGTCACCATAATAATTATAAAAATAAGATCTAAAAGAAAAGTTATTGTTTAAAATCATTTCTTTCTTTACTAACTTTATAAAACTTATAAAAATATTTGAAATTTAAAATTAAATTAAAATTATTAATTTAAAATTAATAAAAATTTAATTTTAAAGTGTTTATCTTATCTTAAGTTTGAAATCCTTAAATTAACTGCAATTGTTATATTAAATATTTATAATATTTTAAAAACTTAAAAAACCCATTATTATTGTACGATCCATTAAATATAGATAGAAATATAATGATTTTTCTAGTGAAATTTCATTGTAATTTCTTCATAATCCCAATAGATCCATCACTCACCCATATCTGGCAAAGTTCGAGTAGGTCTTCATGAAGAAGTGGCTCATGTTGCGATCGTTATCCGTCCACATGTTGCGCTGCAGATGGTCCTTCTTGGGGAAGAACTCGGTGTCCAGGAAGGGAGCTCCGGTGAGGAAATACTTCTCGGTGTCGTGTGGATACTTTCGCCACTGCGGCAGATTCAGTCCCTCCACGGTGGTGTTCAGGACGTACATGTAAACCGGGACCTTCTGCTCGAGCATCAGCTTGACCATCTGGTCCACCGGCGCTCGGTAGTAAAGATCACTGAGCATATTGATGTACTGATCCCGAATGATGGTATTATTATTGGGATCCGGCCAGAAAGTGTACATGTACTTGATGGCCTCGTAAACGCCGTTCGGATTCAGGGTGTAGTTGTACCGGAAGACATGCTCGCGAATCTTCTGATCGAAGAAGCGTCCATCCAGTTCGTAGTACGGACTCAGGGATTCGTTTTGGGCCACCAGGAAAGCGGCCTCCTGAGTCGTCACCCCAGTCATGTACTGGATATTCCGGTTAAACTTCCCCGCCCGGATGAGGGTCTCCGGAGTTTGGGTAAGGAAACGCCAGTCCTTCTCCCGCCATCCCTCGTACCAATCGTCGCCGGGCAGAGTGAAATTGTGGTCCAACACGGGACCCCAGGGAAAGCTGCCCACCTGGGGGGCAAACTCGGCGTTGCCCAGCTCATAGAAGCTGCGTCCGGTGCGCAGGCAGTTGACCAGTTTCCACGAGGACTCGATG